ACAAAAAGGACAGCAACTTGTCTGTTCCCCTTCCCCCAATTCCCCAGCGCTGTTCCCATCCCCCAACTCCCCAATAAAAATCTTAAAAAAAAAGTTTTTCAACATTGATATACCCAACGAAGTGATTGCCACAATAAGCCTAGTAACCATACTGTCTAGTAACCACTCTATAAAATTATTATGATTGACTATATTCCCTATGCTGTACATTATATCTCCATGACTTACTGATTTTTTAACTGAAAATTTGTACCTCTAAATCCTCTTCCCCTTTTTTCCCTTCCCCCCAACCCCCTTCCCTCTGGCAACCATTAGTTTGTGACATTTGTGCCATAGTAATGTTAGCAATAGAGGGAACTAGGTGAAGGGATGCTCTATAATATTTTTGCAACTTTTCTATAAATCTGAAATTATTCTAAAATAAAAATTCATTAAATTTTTAAAAGAAACAGCACTTCCCTGGACCCCTTCCTTCAACTTCACTACATTTTCCTGCTTCCCTTCACATGGAAGCCTCTTGAAAGAGTTGCGTGTTGCTGTGGTCTCTACCCCCTGACCCCAGCCACCTCATTCCTCAGTCCACTCCCATCAAGCCACTGTCAGCTCTCCACTAAAACTGCTCGGATCAACGTCAGTGTTGGTCGTCATGTTGCCTAATCTCAGAGCCAATTTTTTCCCCTTATCTGTCTCCTCCTTTGACTTCTGCTAGCATGTACATGGCTCAGGGCTCTGTCTTAGGACTCTAGTCTTTTGTCTATGTGCTTATCTCAAAGGTATATTTCATCTAGTGTTACGGCGTTAAGTACAACTTACCTACTGTTGATGCCCAAATTTGTATCTCCAGCCTTAACTCTGTGAGGTAGGGGCTGTTATCATGCTCCTGTCACAGGAAAGCAGACACAGGCTCTCAGGCGTTAAGGGGCTTTCCCAAGTTTACACAACTAGAAGCTGCAGAGCCAGAATTTGCACCTAGGTCTGTCTGACTCTGGGCCTCTGCTGTGAGCGGCCAGGTACCCCTCTCCCTCCATCCCAGCTCCCGGTCCTGCTAGCTCCTGAGGCTCTCCTGCATGTGCTGCTTAGTCTGGCCTCATGCCTTTGTCCCCATTTCACTTCTCCTATAATGATCTCCCCACCTACCCTGACTCCGCCTCTCCAACCATCTTCCCTCCCAGCTCTGGTGGGGGATTTTTCTACTTCTGATGCTCATGTTGATCTCTCTTGGTCTCTTCTGAACTCCCACAGGACCTGGAGTCTACCCTAAGGCAACTGAAGGCTACCTTGCATATGTAAGTTTCATGCTGTCTGAACTCAAAATGGAGGTCCTTGGCCCAAGTGAACTGCACACCTGGGGACACTGAAGCACAATATCTGAGACGAAGACTGCCTGGGAAAATGTGGGCCACGGGCCTTCATCATGACACACTGTGTCATATAGTGGTCTGAGTTATCTAGGATTGCTTTTATTTTGTTTCCTCTGCTAGCTGGTGAGGTCTGGTAGAGAGAGATGATGACTTTTCCAAATAAGTATCATTAAAAAAGTTGTGTGTGTATGTATGTGTGTATGTGTGCGTGTTTGTGTATTTGGTTTGGGGAGTATGTATTTTTGATCCACGGTTGGTAATATGCTTATACAAAGGGCTGACTTCAGTCATGTGGATTTTTAACTGTGCTGGTGGTTGGGGTAAGGTAAAGAGTTCCTATAGGGGGCCAATGAATACAAAGGAATATTTTGAAGAAATGGGGGTGATGCTGTGATCATGATCATTTTGAAAGAACTAAAAGTGCCCTGAGGGACAAGACAAAGGAGAGGCTAGAGACCTGTGAGGTGGCAGTGGGGGAAGGGCCATGTGTGGGGAGGCCTGTATACTGGTTGAGAAATTGAGAATTGATGTCACGGGCAGAGGACACACACTGGGGCTGGGATATTGGTCCCTTTCATTTTTCAGTGAGTTTGGTCTCAGTCCCCATGGTGCTGGTCTGGGTTCTGCTCCCAGCCCTGCCACCCACTCACTGTGTGACTTAGGCAAGTCTACCTGGCCTCCCTGGGCCTTGGTCTCCTCATATCTAAAATGAAGAGATTGAAAAACTAAATGATGGGGTTAGGCTACATAATTTCTAGGTCCTTTTCAGCATCCTGAGTCAATCTGGGAAAATATACCCAGTCTTGTCTGACTGGGGCCACTCCTACCTTAAGAATGGAAGAGAGAGGTTAACTCGATCCAGGCCTGCTGATAAAAGTTCTTTTTTCACAGAAAGCTGAGGGTGGGCAAGGGCAGGGCTGTGGATGGTTGAATCTTGCATGTTGTAAAGGAAATGGGCTTGCATTCTAGCTCTAGTAAAACCCACAGCTCACTCCCCACCCCCACCCCCCACCTCCATCAATTTGAAATGTGCATCAGAGACCATGCTTCAGGAGAAGGTAAATTTTGACCTGTATGGATCAGAGGGAGCCCTTCTCCACCAGGTGGGGCTGCCTCCTTCCTCAGGTTTGGGTCTGAGTTCCCCTCCCAGAGACACTTGTCATGTGGAGGCTGCCAACCAAGGCAAGTGCTAGGAACATGTCACACCCTGCTGGGGCTTGCCTGCCTAGAGGAGAACATATCTAGAATCGGGGCGCCCCAGAGGCTGAATGATTGCTAATTCTACATAGGGGCCCTGCCTCTGCCCCTACACACCTGACCATGCAGATACATACCTACTCCTAAGCCACCTGAATTTTGAAAAGAAAAATATGAAATCAGGAGCATTTAAGTCAGTCTTCACTGGATTACTTGAGAGAAAACATGAAGAAAGCAGGGTCAGCTTGTATGGGGTCTGTGTCTTGAGCTTGAGTGCTTTAGAGAGGCCAAGTTCCTCTAATCCATCGGGGCCAGTGGCCTCAGTGCCCTCAGTGTTGTTGGGGTGGGGGTGGGGGGCGGCGGCAGGATGTTGCCCATCCATGTCTGAGTCCTGAACTTGCCAATGCTCGGAGGCAACTATGCTGTTGAAGGCCAAGCTGAGGTATGTCATTCATAGGAGAGCTTCAGAAAAGAATAGATGATGTTTTCAGGAAGCCCAAGATGGCAGGCAAAAGTTGAGTGGGAGCCAAGCAGAGCCCAGAAAATCCAATCTGAAAGTCCAGGCACCAAGTTTGGGAAGAAAAGAGATGAGAACAGCAAGCAAAATAACCAGAAGGAGTTCTAAAGGTTAAAGTAATCAAGTAATAAAGATAGGAATATTCTTTTTGGCAAAGTCAGTGTGAGAGGAGTAGAGCATGGCCAAGGCTGGGCTCACGTTTCATTTCTTCCATCAACAGGGTATGACTTGTGGAAGCTGCTTAATTTGATTCTGTTTCATCTGTGAATTGGGCGCTCACAGGACTGTTTAGCCTGAGGATCAAGTGAACTAAGAAGGTAAGTGGGAGACCACACTATGTGGACTGAACTACTAGGCAAGCGAAGTGCACGGCACTGGAACGGCTGGTCCCGGGCTCTCATCACTCCACAGTCACACCATGGAGACAGCCATCTGTTGAGAAGTGGTCATGATTTGGAAAAGTAAAATTTGAATTAGGGAGCTCATCATGCCCATATCCAATTTGAGGCTTTCACTCTGCTCTGTCTCTGGCTTTTTTGTTTGCCTTTCCCATTCTACCTGGAAAGTCCCCACTTGAGCCCTGCCACCTCCAAGCTGAAGTCTTCTGGCTGCTGGAGCCCAGGTTTCCCCTTCATCACAGAGTGCGTAGTGTGCACACACGTAGACCGGCGTGACTCTCACATTGCTTCATGTAACTTTCTGAAAGCAGGGGCCATGACATCTTTCCTTGGACCCCCCATTGGACATAAAGAGGGCTCTGTGGCAGATAGAAATACAGACAGCGCAACATGGCTTCCCAGTCTCAGGCAGTGTCCAAGTATTAACGTTCATTTTTTTCTTCCTTCACCCATCTTTCTGCCAGTTGGCCTCAGTTGTCTCACAAAGATCAGTGCCAATGTTCATTTTCTGTAAATTATTTAATAAATACTTTGCATTACATCAGGGTAACCCATGATAAACCCATAGGAAACAAGCGCCATCAGCAGTGGTAGGATCAGAATACTTTAATAAGATATCAGTGTCAAAATACATTTCCTTATAAAGTTAAGCTCCCATATAGTAATAATGTTGTCAGTAGGAATTCGACAAAATAATAATGTACATGAACTCGTTACGTTGACAGGTAAGGTTAATATTGAAGCTCGGAATATTTTTCAGAGTGTTTTAGTAAAACTGCAAGGGTAAAATACCCTTAATGCTGAGGCAGCACACACAGGAAATCAAACATCAGCATTTACATGTCAGTAACCCTTCAAGTTCTATCGCTGTGTGTGGAACAAAGCTGTGGTGCTTAAGTATGATTTGGGCAACACAGTGAATAGGTAATTAGATTTATAACTTAATTTTTTTTTGAAATTTAAATTTTTGGTTTTGTTTTTGGCAATCCATCCAGGCTTACCCAATTCTTGGCCTGCTGTGCATTGTGTGTGTGTTTCTAGAAACTTCTTCATTGTACCCATGACAGAAAAGTTCTGTGATTGGTATTTAAAAACCAAAAAATATTGTCCCTCTTACCCAGTGAGTTAAAGTGCTCTGAGAACACTCTATTTCCAGTGCTTCCTACCTATACAAGTCACTTCAAGTGACAAACAGACCTCCGGGAGGGCCTGAGGCTGGGGTTGTGCCGGAGGTCTGCCTGTTGCTCGCCAGCGGGGGGCGCTGCACCTCGGCCTTGCAGGGCAATCTGAGGGCAGGCTGAGGAAGGGGCACTGGGATGGTCAGGACTAGCTGCTCCTACTTTCTGTGCCCTCTAAGTCCAGATCCATGCGCTCCGAGGTGGTAAGCTGGGAAGACATGGACTGGATCACTGCACCATTTCTGAATTCTTACTGTCTTTCATGAATTCCCATCAAAACCATCTCATGGTAGTTCTGGAAATATCCAAATGTGCCAGGTGAAAGCCCACTAGTCACATAGCTCAGTGCACTTGAAGGGCTAGCAACAAAACCTTAAGAAAAGTTAAAGCACTTCCTTTCCCTTAGATTTGCCCCACCCCCACCCCCGATCCCATGATGTGCCATCAGACCCTCTTGGCAGCAATAATAATATATACATACATACATAATACATACAGAACGTGAGGAGAAGACAGCTCGCAATGCTCCCACTGGATTCCACGTCTTAGATTGTCACGCCTATGGTATACCCCCAAAGCAAAAGCCAACAGAGAGGGACCTTGAGCAGTGTTAGTCCAGGCCCGTGGGAGTACTGTACAATTCTGCAGTGTCAGCAACACCCGGAAAAAGAAAATTAACAGCTTAAAAAAGATCTTAAAGTGATTCTGTGAGCAGGATTCCATTTCCGTTTCTAAGTTTTTAGATAATACAAAGTACCCATATATATGATAAACACTTAACCCAGATATAAATTTTAAAAAACTCAGTTATGGTTTTGAATAATAATTAAAAAACAAATCCACTGAATATGGGGGAAAACACCAAACAGTTTAGGAAAAGCCACGCTGTTGCAACTTTCACAGATAACCACATACACTGGAGTTCACCCTTCACATTTCTTTCTTTTTTTTTTTTCCCCCAAAAGTCATAAAAATTAGAGCAAAGAGTTGGATTTTTAAAAAAAGATTGAAATTTACAATATGGTGATTGGTTTTAAAAAAGAAAGGAGAAGGGCTATGAGAGGGCACAAATCAAGCTTGGAAAGCAAAATTATTTCTCTTTGGCAACAACAACAAAATCTTTTTAGTTTAAATGAAGCCAAAGCTTTCCCTACAGCAGAACAAAACATACACCAAACTTGTTAGTATGACTATGTGTGTGTGAGAGAGAGAAAGGCCTATGAATAATATAAATTAGAAGTAATTGAAGTTGGGGGGGAAAATCTTACAAAATTTAAGAACATTTTCATTGACAGAGTAAAACACAGCAGGTAAAACAATTGTGTATTTTAAAAATATGGATAACAAAATGAGCATCTTCAGAAAAAGGCCATTACTTGGTGACTTGGGCAAATTTACCAGTTAAGTACATCTTGTAAAAAGTGTGTTGGTGTTAGAAATACCTAGTTGCAAAAAAAGACGTAGAGAGTGAAGCTGGTGGGATGGCGTTGGCAGGGTGCCTGCCTGGCGGAAGGCTCTAGTTCAAGTGGCCTGGTCCAGGGCTCTGAGGAGGTCCCCTCCTTGCAGGAGCGTGGAGCTTCCTGGTACAGGAACGTTCACCTCACAGTCATATCTAGTCAATTCAGGCAGCAGGTAGGGCTCAAACGAGGGCCCGAGCAGCCGGCTTGCCATTCCTGAAAGAAGGAGTTGGTACCATATTTTAAAAACTCTAAATCAAACATTTGGAAAACAGTCTATTTCATGAGGCCAGCAGGGACAAGAAGGGCACATGCGGAGAGCAAGAGGCATTTTACAGTTTGCATGATTCGGGGTGTGGGTGGGCCAGTCCTACTATCACGCTGTTTCTTCAATGTTGTCTTTCCTGAGTGATCTACTCCATGCTCAGAGGGTGGACCCAGCAAAGAATGTGTCTGCCTCTAGACCCATCTCACTAGGTGGGGTGCTGAGCCCATGGGAAGAGAGAAAGTGCACAGTGTAGAAAGCAGCAAGCAGAGAGTTTTGGGGGGTTTGTGTGGAGGGAGCCCCCACGAAGGCTTCCTGGCCGCAGAGGAGGAGACATCAGTAAGAGCCTGTGCCCACTGTGCACTGGCAGCAGTGGCAACAGGGAATTCTGAGCCAGCTGCTGCCTGCACACACACGTACCATACACACGTGTGCATGAATATGTACACATGCATATGAACAAACACGCACATACAAAAATGTGCACAAACATATGCCCACATTGCAGCAGAGGGGCAAAGGGGCATCTCACAGCACCCAAACCCCACTTCCTTGGAAGGGAGGCTTAGGCACCCAGAGGACAGCCTGGGAGCACTTCATTGGGCCCCTCTAATGTGCGATACCCACTTCCTCTTCCCTTGGCCTATGTGCAGCACCCCATCCCTGGGGCCCTCTTCCTTAGTCCTTTCCCAGGGTCCACACCTGCCTCCCCTACTTGACAGCACTCCTTTGTGGATGGGGGCGGGTCTCATGGCTCTATGTAGCCCCCCCCTGTAGCAATGGGTACTTACTCACCATCCCTTTCTAATCCCCCCTTCTTTTACTTATTGTCAGAAATAACCTCCCTTGATTTCTGTAGTTCAAGGAAACTTGTGGGTTCACAGAAAGAATATTAATGCTGGTTATCATGTACTGAACACAAAACCTGCCAGAACTTAACACTGTGAATGCAAACTTCTCATTTAAATGTGAGGCTTGCTCTGTCCTCAAGCTGGTAAAGAGCAGAGCTGGAATTTAAGCCCACGGCTATCAGGAGGCTCTAAAGCAGCGGTTCTCAACCTTCCTAATGCTGCAACCCCTTAATACAGTTCCTCATGTTGTGGTGATCCCCAACCATAAAATTATTTTTGTTGCTACTCTATAACTGTAATTTTGCTACTGTTATGAATCGTAATGTAAATATCTTTTTGTTTTCCAATGGTCTTAGGCGACCCCTGTGAAAGGGTCGTTCGACCCCCAAAGGGGTTGCAACCCACAGGTTGAGAACCGCTGCCTAAAGCCTGGATTCTGAAGCACTGAACATCAATTTGTCGCAAACCATATTGCTGAGGAAATCGCCCTCTTTTAGGGCAGGGGTCTGGGACATTCCACCACACAATCATGAATTACGTATGTGTATGCTAACTAGCAACCTTTTCTTGACAACATGTATGTTTTACAAGACGGTAATAGACAAAGGAGGACCTGGAGTGAAGGCAGGCATCATGTGACTAACCCTCCCAGAAGGTACAGCAGAGTGGATCCTCTCAGAACTTTTCAGGACACCCTCCTGGCAGCACATTCTCTGCTCAGGTCCTGACTGAACTCAGAGTGATGCCCTCGATGAATAACGGGGCATTAGGCAACATGGTAACATGAAGAACCAAATAAAAGACACAGGGGAACACTCTGGATCGAAAGAGCCCTAGATGGCACCTGATAGTTGGGAGGTTCCTTCTAAAGCCCTGTAGACAGATGGCCTTCCAGCCCCTGCTGCAATGCTTCTAGGACAGAGGGCCCACCCCTCTAAGCTAGCCACCTTTCATGGCAGCAAGTCCTCCTTGTACTGAGCCAACACCAGCTGCTTTTTGATGTCCATCTCCTGGCCCTTACCCCTTCCACACACATCAGACTTTGGCAGGAGGTCCCAGTTCCTGAGTGCACCCACCTGAGGCCTTGTGAGCTGATGGCAGACTGTAGTCCTGGTACTGGAAGGCACAACACTGTGAGGGGAACCCGCTTTTGGCATGCTCCCCGGGGTTCATGGCAGATGGTGGTTGTGGTGGTGGCAGGTGTCTCAGAGGCTGGCTCAGGCCCCTCATGGGATTTTGGGTGAACTCATCTGCAAGATCAAAGTTGGAGAGTGAGAGACAGTGCCGACCCAAGGGAGGGGAGAGACTTTGAAGCCCCCAGAACCCCCACTTCCTTCACAAAAGGTGCTCAGAGCCACCAGAACTAGAGCCAGCTCCTGGGGGCCTCCAAGCCTGGAGATTTCTGATGACGTCATTTGAGCCAGGGTAGAAAGGGTAGGGCAGGCAAGGCAGGTGATGAGTGGAGGAACCAGGATGGACCCCTGAGCCCCCAGTCCTCCCACCTGCAAATGCCCTCCCCCACCCCAGTCCCCCAACCCTACTGCTCACCACTGGGTATGTCCCCACTCAGCAGTTTGTCAGGCATCGGAGGGCAGTTCCCACAGTCCCTGAGACTTTTCATCCTTTTCCACATCAAATGTGAAGTGCTGCTGCCGGGAGAGTCCCCCTGGGTGTGGGAAAGGCAGATACAGAGGAGGGAGGGTTTGAGAGAACCAGATCCTCAGACTGAGTCGGGGGTGGCCTGGGGTGGGCTCAGAGCAGCTGTGCCTGGAACGGGGCTGGGCTTGCTCTCTGTGAAAGGCCCGCCCCTCCCTGCCGCCCTGGCTGGAAATCTGAGCCTCACAACAGTTAAGAGCTTCCAGCCAGGCTGGAGCTCTGCTTTCAGCCCCGGCCCCCACCCAGCTTGTCCCCAAGGGCTGTGGCGTCCACAGTGGTGTCAGTCAGGAGATGGCTCACCCCACTCATGTCTTGGAAGGCTTGCTCCTCATATTCCAGCTGTCGCTTCAGCTTCAGCTTGTTGGAGAGGGCTATCATGGCCGGGCTCATCGCATCTGGGCCTTGAGGCCTGAAGCCTTTTGCAGACCTGCCAAGCCCAAGAGAATGGCTCATGAGGGAGTCTGGGGCCCCACGCCACCCAGTACCTTTACCTGATCTCAGGGCCCTCAGAGGGCCTGTCCAGAACTAATACTTATGACTGTGGCGGCTCTAAGACCCAAAGGGCAGAGCCTCAGAGGAGGGGCATAGGCTTCGGAGGGGCCTGAGATTCGGTCACTGCCACTTACCTCTTCTTGAACATGGAGAGATGGGGCGAGGTGACAGGGGGTTCCAACGGTGATGCCCCCAAGGCCTCAGTGTGCTGATTCCCAACAGGCCACTTCGTGGGCCTGAAATGTAAGGGTGGATCAGGGGGCCACTGTGTGTTGAATCTGCCCCCCAAAGAAGAGAGAGGGGTGCTGGCCTGGCCATAGCACGGTGGCAGGGATGCCTTGCTCCCGCCATCAAAGAAGATGGAGGACATGGGCTGGTGCTCAGGCTCTGTCTTCTTGCTTTCCAGCTGCTGCTGATACTTGTCCAGGAGAAAGGGGCCGTGAGAAGCCATAGGGGCCAGTGGCTGGAAGATGTTCGTCATGGTACTGAAGCAGTGCTGGGGGGTGAACTGAGGGTTCTCCGGTAAGAGCCTCTCCTCTGGGCAGATGGGGCTTAGCTGGAAGTCTTCCCCATCCATGGGGATGTAGGGTGCCAGTGTCTCCAAGTCCAGCTCATTGAAATCCATCTGAGGAGACACAGAGCAAAGCTCAAGAAGCTCAGCGCTTGGCAGTGTCTCACACACCACTCCATCTCAGCCCCCCGGCCCCCCGCCCCTGCTAGAGTCATCCACCGAGGCACAGCTTGACAGGGGCGCTGCCCTGCTCTCATGCCTTTATTGGCTTCCTGTGGCCCACCACAAGGAAACTCAGACTCCTCTTCCAGCCTTTCCATGTGGCTCATCTCTCTTCAGCCAGTTTCACACGTCTCCACATTCCACTGACATCCCTCCACGAACCACTCTAGTGTCACTGCCCTCACCCAACCCGAAATGCTCTCCTCTCTACCTGCCCAAACCCCACCTTCTCTCACAGAACCTGGGCAAATCCGGCCTCGCCCACAAAGCCATCCCTGCATACTTTGGCCCACGGTGAATCCCCCATCCCTGTCCTCCTGTGACACTTAGGCCTGTGGTACACACAATGGCTCCTGGAGAAGCAAAGGCAGCTTTGTCCTCCCTCCTTCCTATGCCCTGACACAGGCCTTGACAGTCAGTGCCCAGGGCACATCTGTGGATTGCTCATACAGTGACAGATGCCCCCAGTGGTGGAGGGACTTTCATTCCCATCAGCGAGTACTCGGAGACGGCCCTTTAAGCTCCCACTGTCACGGTGGGCGCCATGGGGAATACTCATAAACAGAGGCAGAAAAAAGTTTCCACCTTTAGAGACGGACACCCTCCCTCGGAGGATGCTGCTTACTGTATTAATAATTACAGCTAAATGAAATGGTTAAAGAGCAGAAGCAGACAGCTATGATCAAGAACTAATAAATCCTGTAGAAGTTCAAAGGAGAGAGAAGGGAGGGCTGAAATGGCGAAAGTTTTGCAGAACAGCTGGAACAGGCAGGATACAGATACAAGCTGAGGAGCAAGGTGGACATTTGGATGAATACCACTGACTAAGCCAATTGGGAATTAATGGGTTTTCTGAAACATCCTGCCATCCCCCCACCTCAGCCTTATTTACACAGTTTCTGCAAGAACATTTGGCCTTAGGTAATAAATGCTTTCCTGAAGAGTTGTATGTAAATGAAAATTTATGAATCAGATGTTATTTTTAAATGCATTGAAAATAAAAGTTATTTCAAAGACTCCTAAGATGATTATGTTCAGTCGTAGTTTTGGTTTCTGTGCACCAAGAAAGCTATCTAACTAGTAGATAAATAAGGTGAGAGTTCAAAGTGGAAGGTCTGGGTTTGACACAGGTAAGGCAGAGGGCAGCAGCGGGAGAAGGGGACTGCCACAGGCTCCAGTTTCCTGCACCCTCACTCATGTAGTGACCATGGCCTTGGCCAAGCATCCCAACTGTTCTCGGCAACAAAAGGGACAAGGCTGCAAGGATGGAAGTGAGGCTTCACCGCCACCAGCTGGCAGGCATGGCACAACACTCCTGCCTTCTCCGTGGCCACCTACCTGGGTGCTGCATGGGTCCTTTGCCTCAGTATCCATGGCAAAGAGCTTCTCGATCACTTCAATCTTCAGATCATCATTCAGAGACGTGTAATAGTCTTCAGGACTGCTGGGCTGGGGGCCAGGAAGGAGGGTGACCGTGTCAAGGCTATGACACTGGTCTTCCCGGAGTCCAAGGTAGAAGGGGAAATACATTCCTGGACCCACAGATCAACTCCATTCCACTGAACAAGCACTTGTAGAGGGCCACTCCCTACAGTCTCTGTGAATTAGGTCAACGCATCAGCCTCCCTGAACCTCAGTCTCCTCCTCATACAATGAGCCTGTCTTCAGGAGTAAATGAGATAAAGGCTGTAGAAACTGTACAGCTCTATGCCCTGAGCAGGATGGTCACTGCCCTGCACAAAGACGGAGCTAGGGGCTCAAAGCTGTGTGCGACTCAGCCCCAGCCCTTAAGGAACTTATCATTTAGGTGGTGGTGGGGATGGATACAGAGAACAAACCAACGGCTTGGATATCTGGCATGTAAATGTCACCACCTCTTTAGAGGCCTCTAGGATAACTTGAGTAGAAGAACAGTATTTCTGTCTGGACTGTCCAGCCATCTGGCAGCGGCCAGAAGGAGGAACCCACCCTTTCCATGCCCTCATTCCACGGGGGGCTCACCGTGGAGCAGCTGCTGTTACTGGTGGCACTGGGGCTGGTATTCCCTGGGGCAGCCACCTGGGGCATGGTGAAGGCAGGCAGGCTCTGGGCCTCGCTCTGGGCAGCATGGCTCTTCAATTCCTTGGCCCATGGTTGGCTCGGGGGCAGGATGGTCTCGCCATAGGCTGAGGACTCGTCAAAGCTCTGGTTCCCTGTGGAGACAAGGCCCTGGCCTGATTAACACCCACAACCACTGGGCTCACCCCCAGGGCAGAGAAAGTCCAAAGAGGCACAAGAAATCCAAAAGAGTCTGGAAGTCATGACTGAGACTAGGCCTTCAGCACTCTGAAGCTTAGCTGGGACAAAGGGGCCTTTAACTGGGACTCCCTTTCAAGAGGACACCCCTCCTGGAGCATTTAATTTTCAGAGACGAAATGTATTAGGAGTGCTCTTCCTTGAAGAGCAATCCAGAATGCAGATGAGGAGGTTATGAGAGGAGAATTGGGCAAGTTGCCTAGGCACTACCGCAAGACAGGCAAGCTGCAGGACTTCTCATCCCAGGACTGTCCTTTACGATTCTCTGAAGCCGTGAGTCTCCCATGGCCTCTCAGGAACACACCCGAAGGGGCCAAGAGAGTTCAGAGAGAGCATAGGGAGGTGCATCTGCCCTCCCAGCAGCCACAGCAAGGCTGTGGGTCACACACTGAGGAGGAAGGGGCCCCTAGGTACACACCAAGGGAGCTTCCAGCATGGGAGTGGGGTAGGGCCTGAAATCTCTGTCTGAGGCCACAAGGATGCAAACCTCCCCATGGGACGGGCACACATTTTAAAGAAGTAGTACCTATGAGGGCAAAATTTGGGCCAGAATCTTTTCTTCGTCCAAGTTTCTGGAATCATCTCTCCCAACATTATTTCATCCTACTTCTCTGCCTCAATAAGCAATGTGTCCCTCAAGGCAGGTAGAAATCAGCCCTCTTTGTGGACACGTGCGAGTGGCCTTGGAGCAGATCTCTTGCTGTCCCCCTCTCTCACCTCAGATTCCCACTGCCTGTGGGGCAGATGGGACTCCTCAGGAGGGGGTCCTCCATAACCCCGCCTGGTTCAGCACTGTACAAGGTCAGAAATAGGACCATCTTACGCCGACGTGAGGCGGGTGCATGTGTTGTTCTTTTGCACCCAGCACAGTCTGGCCATGAACAGATCCTTAGCGAGACTCAGGGAAGGGACAGGATAGCTCTGGTTAAGGAAAAGCTGTAGTCCTTTGGGGAGGGTGGTGGCCTGTGACAGTAAGAACCTCTCCCACCCCAAGAGGGTTCGATGGGCCCTGGCTCAGCTGAGAAGCACCCACCGAAATCCAGAGAAATGATGGCGTCTCCCGCCGTGGGAGCCAGCTGGGCCAGCTCCTCAGGCTCCTCCTTCAGCTTGGTGAACAGGAAGTTACTCTTCTCAGACACAGTCAACTCGCCACTGTTGTCGAAGATGCTGTTCATGGCCATCAGGTGCGGCTTGAACAGGGATTCCGTCTGGTCCATGGAGAACACCACATCGTTCTTCTCAATGTCACTGAAGGGATAAGAGGCTGCTTCGGTCCATTTGCATTGTCTAGCAAAATCCTTCCGCTCCCCAGACACACGGAAACCCTGATGGCTAAGGCTTTCAACCTAACACATGGGTATGGACACCGTGTGTTGGCATTTTGTAAAGAGCCACACAATGGAAGTTTGAGTTGAGGTAGGGATGCCGAGAGTGCCTGCTGACTATGCATCTGACTTGGATGCTCTTTTATTACCAGATGCTGCATGGTGTACACGGGTTTGAAGAGTTTTGTTTCACCCTAGCCAGTGACCTTACTCAGCTTTCTTCCCAGGCGCTACAGAGTGAAGGCGTTACGTATTCTTTTCCTCAAACATGCCAACGATTCTCTTCCCTTTCTCCCCTTTCAGAAAATAGTTGTTAAGTGACAACTATGTTCTATCCGCCTCTCCATGTGGGTCAGAGCATGTCATGGGTGACACACCAAGGGGAAGGAGCAGAAAAAGCACTGTAACAGGGAAACCCCAAGTGTCCCACTGTTCCCAAGACATCCACAAAGCTCTCTGGGTCATAAGGGCCAGCACGGCAAAGAGGTCACAAAGAGCCCTCCGAGAAGCTGGGCATTCCCTAGGCCTGCCATCACCACTCTGGGGAGCTTGGGCACCCCGCCCCAGCCTGCCCCCCCACTGGCCCTCACACACTCACCTCAGGACATAGTTCACACACATGATGCACTGGGGCTGCAGGTTGCGCGGATTGTAGATGACTGTCCCCTGTGTCTCCAGCCACACATAGCCCCCATGTTTCGCCAGCATCCGGTACTGGCCGCTCACCACCTGACCCTTGGCACACACTAGGGAAGGAGAAATGGAGGCCGAGGTCAGGAGGGTGGCGGGGGGGAGTGGGGGGGAGACGCCACTGGGAGTGCCATCTGTGGGGAGACAGACAAAACTGGGTGCCGCCAGACCGTGAGGACTGGGGCAAGTGAGCCGGAAGGGAGCTTACAGACCATCTCACCCAGCTCTTCATATTAAATATAGGAAAAGGGGGGCCAGAGGGGGTTAAAGGACTTGCCCAAGGCTGCCCGGTGATGGAGTGGCTCACTGCCAATCCCTTGAGACATGGCTCACCAGTCGGCTCAGCTGGAAATGGAACCAAGAACAGCATCTGCCCTAGTTTCCCCCCAGGGTCCAATGACAGGAAGCTCCCATAGGGAACAGCACGAAGAGCCTTGTCTGTGTGTGTGTGTGTGTGTGCGCGCGCGCGCGCGTGCGTGCGTGCGTGCGTGCGTGTGTGTGTGTGTGTGTGTGTGTGCAGCTTGAAGAAAGCCCTCCTCAGGGCAGCTCTTTGTAGCAGACCCACCACTAATACTCTATTTATGAATATACAGTTATTAAAAAACCAATATCCTTGATTGCTCCAGGTCATCTGTCAGGCCTGCCGCTTAGGAGCCACGGAAGGTTTGTCACTCACTCCTAGCAGAGGCAGAGGCTCCGCCCTCAGCCCCCCACTGAGGCTGAAGAAGCGCTGGGCCCCCAGAAGCCTATGCTGTCTCTTCCGAAGCTGTGGCAAGTCCTTCCTGCCCCTCCTCCTCCTCGCTGCCCAGCTAGGCTGCCTGCATCTGACGTCTTTCCAATTCCAGATTGTTCTAAATGTTTGCTTAATATTTGTTTTTACTGTATAATAGCATGGAGGAAGCTATTACCACATCCCAGCACCCCTTTTCCCCCCGGTCCAGAATGCTCTATCTGGTCCCGTTAAAAATGAGTCGATAAATCCCTTTAAATGAAAGTCTACCAATGTTAGAATTTCTGGTAGTTTTCTGAACGGCCCATTTACTTTTATTCTTTGGGAATTTGTTCTACAGAATCCCAACTCAGAAATCCCCAAATCACAGAGAATGGTAAAGAGGCATGATGGAAGAATTAGGAAATCGTGCTAGTGTGGGGACTTTGGGGAAAGAACAGTTACTCTTGGGTTTGGTTTCCTTGTCTGCAAAATGGAGTACTGATAATAATAATAGTAATAATGGTAATAATGATCATTATTAGCTATGCAGTATACCACAGCTGTTTGTACCGAGGGCCGAATCTGCCTGGCTGGCTTATCAGGTACAAGAATGTTGACTGAACATCACTGACAAATGCCATTGCAGGAAAAGCCATCTCTTCCCCAAAGTCACTACTATGGATAATGCTCAGGCCCTGTCACATCTCCAGGACACGCCTGTAGATAATGTTGTGAGGGGCCCTGTGGGAGAATATCCAGATTCTCCAGGTAGGCTAGTGGGCCACCTCCCCATTCACCACCCCTGTGTGGTTGAGGGATGCAGCTTGGTTCACACTAATTTATGTTTTCTTGGCACATATTACCCTCTTCAAAAATTTAACAAGCACCTCCAAGGTGCAGGAAATACCATAACTTACATGTATCGAGTGCTTTGCAGTGTTCAAAACTGTCTCAAGACTAATTCTTTTCTGCAAAGCAATAATAACAGTGCCTGGCACATAAAGCATCAATAAAGATTATTAGTGTTACCATCACCTCACTAAAGACACAATAACACCATGAGGTTTCTTATTATTCTTGTTTTACACCTGAAGAAACTGAGGCTTGGAACTACTGAGTGATTGGCTGCAAGGCCTTCATCAGTGGAAACGGTAGACAAGATTATAAACCAAATTAAAGATTCCTAGTCTAAGCTTGTTTTGGTTAGGTTTTCATTTTTTAAAACCAATTTCAGTAAGGTTTAATTTACCTTCAATAAAAAAAAATGCACCCATTTAAAGCATACAGCTTAATGAGTTCTGACAAACGTACACACCCTTGTAATTATTACCACAATCAAAGGAATGGGACTTTTCCATCAATTCCCCTCTCCCCCGCTCCGCCCCAAATTCCTTATGCCTCAATCCTCATGCCCACCCTGGTCCCAGCCAATCACTGATGTGTTTCTGTTACTATATATTGAAATGCTCTTTTCTCCATTTGCATGTAAGTGGAATCACACAAGAGTATATACTCTTTTGTGTCTGGCTTCTTTGCACCCAGCATGTTTTCCAGATTCCTCATGTTGTTGCAGGTATTCATGGTTTGTTCCTTTTCATTGCTGAGTAGTGTTCCATTGTATGGATGTACGATAATTAGTTTATCCATTCACCTGTCAACGGATGTTTGTTTTCAGTGTTTGGTTATTATGAATCAAGTTGCTATAAACATTTGTGTACAAATATTTGCATGGACATGTATTTTCATTTCTCGTGGGTGCAGCTAGGAGCACAATGGTTGGGTCATATGCTAAGTATATGTTTACTTCTAAGAAGCTGCCAAATTATTTTCCAAAGTGGTTGCATCATCCTAATCTTAAAAAAAAAAATCCTGTGCTGTTAGGAGGATAGAGATCATCTCCTTTTCACATGAGGAAACCAAGGCCAGAGGGATTGTGACCTGTTTAACATCACCCAGGACAATAGTGACTCAGTCTGGGCTAGATGACAGCCTTGTGGCTCCTAGTCCAGCACTCTGACTTCATTTTCCTGAGCTACAATTCACTGGGAAGATCAAATTTGCTATTGCCTCTGTCTTGAACTATCACGGACTCTTCAGCCAAAGAAATAACTTCTGTCCTCTCTGACTTCACTTTATCTGCACCACTGAGGCTCCCCTTCTGCAGTGAAATGATTCTTGCACAATTTCAAGTGGCCGGAGTTAACTTATTTAGACGGTTCTTAATGCAGACAAAATTCAGGGCTCTTATTCTTCTTGATTAAACAGTGCAGTGAGCAAAGGTTTTAACTGCATTTCTAGCGATTGCAGGTGAGGGCCTGCTGTTAGTAGAATATAATTACGCCAGCCTTCTAATCATCTGCTCATTAATGTCAGCCTTGGTGAGGGGCCTGCTACTTGGTAGATAGGCTTTTTATGGCCTTTAATCTTGTTTTCCTAAGAGCACATAATGTCCTCACACAACAAAGAGAAACCAACCCCTCCCCTCCGAGAGTAACAATGTATAAATTACTAATCCATTTGGAAATGATGGCTTTCAATTATCTAAATATGGTTTGAGGGCTGAACTTCCCTAGCAATTTCAACAGTAAATGTTCACAGGCTAAGACACACATACGTGCGGAAATTCGGGACACTGGTGTGTGAACGTGAACCAGCCTTAAACCTGGGCCTCCAGCTATTCCACAGCATGAGTGTGGTTCTGTGGTGCAACTGTATTTGCACAAACCTAATGAGAGGGAGGGGGAGAGAGGGAAAGGGAGGGAGGGAGAGGCAGGCATGAGGGGGCGGGTGCTTTTGTTTCAGCCAGCATTAACCCAATTTCCAAACCATGAAGATTTTCCTTTGCTGGATGTGGGTTTGCTGGTGAGGTACCAGGCCTCTAAGCTGAGAGCGGCTTTACTTGGTTCCACCAAGGGAAGAAGCTCCCTGTGATTTCTATTTGGGCTGTGAATCACCTTGAAGTGTGCCTAATGCTTAAACACACAGATTCAATAAAAAGTATCATATTTTCCCTGGAGTCAGCAGAAAACCTACATAACAAATTTTTAACCCAGCTTGTTTTTATGAATCAAAGCTTTTCTAAGAAGAAGAAGACAGAAAAAAAATCCTTCACATAGAGAGGAGTCATCATTTTTGTTCCCTTAGAAAGTGGTTTCCTCCTGTTTCCCGCCCCAGAAGATAAAGTATAATAATACTGTCCTCCGAGAATTCCCAGAAACTTTGACTGTTGTCCCTGCTTTGACTTCACCTTTGGCTGAGAAGAAAAGCTGGACTTTTCCCCTATTTTACATCTAAAGGTGGGAAGGCCCAAAAAGCCCAGCTCTGTGGAATCCGTGGGGCAGCTGGGCTGGAGCCCAGGTCCCTAAATCCCTGTGTCAGGATGACTTTGGGAGCAGGGACAGTCGTGGACCAAAGAGCACGGGGGATCCCAAAGTGAAGGCTGGAACCACATCCTATCATTTCAAAGCTGGGGCAGGGTCACTCCCAGTCCACATGGGCACACAAGAACACCTCCGCCTCCCTCCCCCATCCCTGGGTCCCTAAATGTGGCTGAACTGAGGTTATTATATATTTATTTGCCAGGCAGCACAGTGAGAAACTTCTCCGAGAGATCATAAAGGGCCTTGTCTGTTGCATGGTCAGATTAAACCCAAAAACCATGAGGAAGAAGCAGAGAAACCAGTTAGAAAAAGAAGACCCTCACTCCATTAGAGACTATTAACTCTGCTCTCATACAGCTTATGGGGTTGCTGATCTGCTAGCTGCTCTGAACTTCAGCAGTCCTAACCTTAGGACAGAGGAATGGATTTAGGAATAATGGACAAATAGCTGTACAGTGACACCTTGGTTTGCAAGCATAATTCATTCTGGAAACAAACTACTCATATTTTAAGACCTCACTCGTTTACCAAGTTAAAATGTATTAGGAATGTTTGCTCGTCTTGCAGAACACTCGCAAACCAAGTTACTCGCAATCCAAGGTTTTAGTGTAATTCCATTTTCCTCATTGCCACTTCAAGCTACAGCTAGTTCTGGGAGCCCAAGACCAGCAGAGCCATTGGGAATCTTCTCAGACTTACCTTCCCATTTTTAATCCTTCCACATCTTCTTGGCACCTCTGTTTGCACCACTGTGGCACTTACTTTGAAGCATTCTTCCCCAATAAGTTTCATGCCCTTGGGTTTATCATTCATTCAGTACCTGTACTGTACCTCACGTTATGCTAGACACTGTAGCTAAAGGTACAAGCCCCCTGGCTCCCAAGGAGCCCACAGCTCCCTTTCCCCCAGAAATGGGATCCCTTAGGATGGGGATCAATCCTATCAATTTCTATGACCCTCAGGGGGCCAAGTATAGGGTTATAAACCCAGAGTCCTTGCATGTTGATGGGCTGTAGACTCAAGAAAATTGTCTTGGATCACCTGCAAGTGGGAAGACTGCCCTGGGAATATGGCCAAGTGAATGCACTAGAACTTCCCTGTACAATATGGGCCACTAGCCAAGTGTCATTAATTAAGTTTTAAAAATTCAATTCTTCAATTTTACTAAACATATTTCAAGTACTGTAGAGGTCATAGATGGACTGTGCAGATATAGAACATTTCTATTGCAGAAAGTTCTATTGGACAGTCCTGTTCTACAGACCTTTCATAACTCAGGTTTCTTTCAAGCTGAAAAGCACAGTTTCCATATGCCATCACTGCGTTACCTGGACGGCCTCCTACAACTGAGCTCTCTTGATCCAGCCAGCAAGCTCTTTGAGAACCATGGCCTAGTTCAACACATCTGTTCAGTTTGTACCCTACTACCTTCCCCTCTGTTTATTTTCTCCCTGATCCTTCAACATGTCCACTCAAGTGCTCTAACCATACTGAGGGCATGAGACTTTCTGCTGCACAAGACAGTGGCTCTGTGAAGGAAGTGACCAAGTCTTCTCCTGTCTCACCAGTCACACCCCACTCAAGGCCAAATTCCACAGACACAAGGGAGCCACACAGGGCACCCTAAGAACTTACAGTTCTGGTGACTTTTGGTCATGTTCTCTGAGTCCAGCGCATGGTAAAACTCATAGGCTGAGCGGCCGAGAAGCTCCTCTGGGTGGTAACCAACCAGTTCTGTGATTCTGAATCAAAAAGAAAAAACGTGGGGAAAAGAAAACATGAATATGGGCAGAGGCTCAAGGAGCTAAACCCAGAAGGTAAATCAAATGCACACATTCAGATGAAAACGCTCCAGGCTTCCTGGTCACACCATTCATGCAAGCAATAAAAACATGGTGGTCAACCTGCAATATGGGTCCACCCAACCGCAACTCTTCCTGCCCTTCCTGAAGTCACGTTTGGGGAGGAAGGAAAAGCACTTCCTCAGGGGACACCCTATCCCCCAACCTAATATATACACATATGCCTAGTCTCCAACACCATTGGAAGGGGCTCTCAATCCCCAGTTTTTGCAGATGAGGGGGTAGAGAGAGATCCAGAGAGGAAAGACAATTTGCTTGATGTTCACATGTGTCCAGGGATCAGAGCAAGAATAAAAACGAGGACCTCCTGATTACTAGATCAAGCTTATTCTATTGTAGTAGAGGGCGACATAAATGAAAAATGAAAATTACATGGCCCCAAGTAAGGAAAGCATGAAGATGACATTTGTCTGTGTGTGAACCACAGAGGGAGGGAGGATGAACCTCACACATGGAGAACCCCATCTGTGCTTAAAGCTTCACTCCTCTGAGTGCTTCTCCTCGTCTTGTCTGGTGACCTCAGATTTCTCTTGGATATGGAGTCTGCCTTCCATGGGTTCTTCTACTTGTCCCTTGCTATTTTAAGGATAGGAGGGAGAGCAGGAGGTGCTGAGAGAAGAAATACAAAATCACAGTTGTAGAAATGTGCCTCCTCGTTACACTTTTCTGGTAAACAGGAAGCTCTGAAATTACTTGGCTGTCCCAAATGTCCCTTGCTTCATCCTGTAAGGTATCTGTTTTTTGATGGGAAGTGGGCAGAGAAAAGGCAAAGGTGGAGCACCATGAAGAATCACTGAACACTCCAAGGACCCTTTGCTCTGTACTGGAGTCATTAAAATAAACAAGCCCTGCCCAAGATTAGCCACTTCCCCACGCCACACCTAAATACAGAGGGTGCCAAAAAAATGTATACACATTTTAAGAAAGGAAAATACTGTATGAAATTATAATACTAAATATATACTGATAATAAAAGATGAATACAAGTCACGTTTGACTTCTGCAATTACAAGAGGTGCTCAAAGTGGTTACCATCAGTGTAATTTTAATAGTTTTTTTCCTTGCTTAAAATGTGTATACATTTTTTTGGCACCCTCTGTATTATTTTTCGTAATCTTTATTATCTAACACATTTTTCCAATGGGCTGATTGTCTCGTGAATTTGGCATATCACAAGTTAGAAGTGATGCTATTCTCGTCATTCTAAGCTCTGTTTCAGAACGCATGACTTTTAGGTATGGCCTTATCATTTATCTATGTTGGAGATGAATAATATGGAGAGGACAGCAGAAGCAGAAAGCAGAATGAGTGGCTCTTTGATTTCCTGTCTCTACTCTCACTCCTGCTCCAAATGATTGCATACATCTATCAGAATAAATCATCCTAAAATATTATATATTTCCATCATGTCATTCCCCTATTTAAGCATCTCCAGCATTCCCTATAACCAACCACATCAAGAGTAAATAAACTCTGCCTAACTTCCAAGTCCCCCTAGCATCTACTCTCCATCTTCCAAGCAATTTGATTTGCAACTCACTCTCAGCTTGTCTTGCACCCTCTACCCTGGTGGATCCTTCTCCTCTCAGTTCCTTGATGCCTTCTCTTCTGCCCTCTTTTCTAAGCTCTGACTACTGCAGGGCCAGCTTAAGGCTTCACCTTCTTCATGAAGCCCTCTCCAATTCCTCCAGCCCCTGCCAATGTCTCCTCATGAAGTTGTCATAGGTGAACACAATATCACAGAGAATTATGTATTTCTCTCTCCACATCCTAGGCTGTTAACTCCTGAACTCTGGGAACACTTTTTCCTTTGGCCTCCCTTACATGGTTGCTCAGTAAATAATTGAGTCGCTGGATTGATTCTCTCTTAGGACCTGAGGTACAACCACAGCATTGTCTATCCCACCACTGCTAAGGAATCTGGGTACCAAGGTTCTACTTTTCCTCCAAGAACATGATTAGCTGTCTCAATGCATGCTGGTGCACACACACACACAGCCCTCAGTAGAGCCCCTCATGATATTCAATCTATCCTTTCTTCATTCTGAAAGGTGTGTCCAGTGTTGACATGGGCAGAAAAGAGACCCATTGTCTGCCTGGATGAGCCTTGGGGGGTTAAAGCCTTTTTCAGACAAGGGACAGCCCAATAGGGCTGAGAAGCTTAGGCCTCAGTTGACTGAGCCCAGTGGAGATCTCTCCATTGAGATTCCAGGAGCTCACTTGCACCAGCCAGCTCATCTCAGACCAGGAGGATCTGTCCCTTCACTTGGCTCTGAGCAGAGATGTCTCTGAACTCATCAGCAATGGACATGGTCCTTGTCAGCCTGACCCCAGGGCTGGTGCCCAATGGCATTTTGGCCGAGTAGAGATTGGTGGAGAATAAGGGGACGGTTGAACAGTACTAGCCCTTCATTCCCTACAACCAAATAGCTTTTCTGTCAGGTCCAGTGCCTTTCTAGCTCAGCCTATGAAACAGAATTGTACCAGCAGGCTCAGCTGGCATTGAGCTGGCCATTTACAGGCTCACCAATTTACCAGAGAAGCTGCTTCTGTTTCTGGACAGGTCTAGAATTTTCTAGAGACTCAAAAATGAGGCTATTCTGGGAAAGACGTGATTCTGCTCCTTGAAGACATTAAGTTTTTCTTTCAAGATTAGAATCTTTAAATTAAAATGTTCAAAGCAAATGTTTATTCTAGTCAGCCTTGTAATAAAATTATTATTAATCTAATTAATGTACCATCCATTCAAAGGCACACAATGGGCATGTTTTGGAAGTAGACAAACAAACCTACATTTCAGAATTGCCAGCTATCTTCCCAGCAGCAGCCTTCATTTATCTTGTCAACTAAAATAAATATTTAATGTCTCTTTCTTCATTCCTTTAAACAGACTACTATAAAAACTGGGAAATACGTATACCCCGAACACAATTGAAGAACATTCAAGTTGTCAGGCTTCACAAAGCCAGGAAACCCCAACTTAAAGCTACTGGTCATTCACCTTCATCTGCAGGCACGCAGACGCCAGTGGGGAGGTTAATGAACCCAGCTTGTTTATAGGGTCGGCTACGACAGCACAGCAGGGCCTTTCCCTGATAATTTCCCAGAAGCCCCTGGAGCTGGGCTGTGATAACACAGCTTCACCCACTCTCTTCATCAGTGGCAGGGAAACTACTTTTTTTTTTTTCTTTCTAATTAAGGTTCCCTGACTCACTGGAAAAAAAAAATCTGCTTGGGGGTCACCCATAAATTTAAAAAGTCCACTCAGTAGGCCTCTTCTGTTTTTTAGAGAAGAGAAAAATGGCAAAGGGTTTAACTCACCAGATTTGAGACATGAGAATTGAGTTCACTTTTTAATAATAAAGTGGAAAAAGAAACAGATCGAGGATGAGGTTAGCGGGGGGAGATGTAGACACAGGCAACCACAGAAGGTAGAGAAAGAAGGAAGACAGAAAAAAGAAATAGAGAGGAAAAAAGGTTGTTAAATTCTGAAGTTAGTATTACCCCAAGTAAATATGTGGGTTGGACCACTGGGGTCTGGATTTCTGAGTTAGAGATGTCTTCACAATGTAAAATGACAGTTATTCATTGCTCTTCAATTGCTCTTTACCCTTAAAAATGTTCAGAGGCTCTTTTCAACATAGACTACCGGTGGACGAGTGCTAGGAAGAAAATTATCTTCTTGGCTGCAGTGTCGGCGCCATCGTCTCAAGATGCACAAGAAATCCACTGAGGCCTAAGTGGGTTTCTCTTCCCAGTGACACTGCCCAGTACCTGTCCATGTGGGACATGGCAGCAAGCTCCCTGGCTTCAGATACCATTGCCTGGAGTCAAACAAGGTCTGGTTGCAGTTTCTGACCTGGTCCCCACAGGAGTTAAGGATTTGCTAGGTAAATTGATCATGTAAACAAGACGGTTAGTGTATTTAAACTATTTAAGAGGATAAACCACCTGTTTGTTTCCCAAAGAGCGCATTTGCTAATAAACCATATTTCTATTAGGGGTCTGCTTTGTTTCCTTCTACCCTCGGGCAACGGCCTCTCCTAGGCAACACTTGATTGGCCTCCTTTTGGTTTCTATATGTGCTTATGAACTTTGAAATTTCATTTCCTTAATAATGTCCAGACTATTCACTAACTCAGATTTCAGTGCCTTCTGTTTCAATATATTTTTATCCAGATTTTGTTTGCTTTAAACAACAGTACTTAAGCCTTGCGTTTTCCGCAAATATTACACGATTATGTGAGATCTATACAACCAGCTCTATAGTTAATGGATAATCAATTTCCACCCTGTCAGTGTGATGTGTTACGGGTGGGGTGAATTTATTCATAGGAAAGTCGCCCTGGCTCAATCCTGGGATCAACCCTGCTCTGAGCACCACCAAATGCACAGCTGCCTTTTATTACCTCGAAATAGAGGAAATTTGCCATGAATCGCAGCAAGAGAGAAGCAGATCATGTAGAAGAAATAGCTTTTGGATTGCGAGGTCTGTGAAACTTTGAAATAAATTCCAAAGAGAATTTGTAGAGCTACCCTTTCCAGTGAGTATTTTGAGTAGACTATATTAGACAGGATAATATCTAAGCATTTCTCGTTTATATGCTCAAACTCTGTTAGGGCTGATTTCAGAACTTCGCCATTTGGAGAGGATGGAGATACACAAGGAGAGCACTTAAAGTTTCTTCTAACTCAGGGATTTAAAGAAACACATTATACCCTCTTGCATAAGATGTGTAGAGAAAGGCTAATACGCATCTTTGCAAAAATGTTTAGAACAGGCTATATATTAAATTAAAAAACTACACGTAATGTATTAATCTGGAAGATTACCTTGAATATAAAGATGCCACCCACCCTCTAAACAACATAAAACAAAACAATTTATTACATCTATCTCAAAATGCAATAAAAGTATACACTGTTTTACTATTAATGTGCCTGAAGTCAGCCTACGTTCTTCTCAGACTTCAATACTCTTGCCTTCCACGTGTTTTGACATGTGTCTATTTTACAACTCACGGCTCTTTTATGATTTTGTTCACTGACAGTCTCTGTGTAACCCTCAACTACCCCATTATCATCTTTGCTATTCCCAACTTTTTTGTATAAAAAGGATCATCATAAATTTGATCCACAGAATTTGAAACGCAGGCATCTTAACTTATTAAACTTCTGATATTATTATGCCCTATGCTGTCCTAACCCAATGACAAAGCGGGGTTGCCCTCAAACCCTACCTGTAAAGATTACATGATCTTCTTTGTTAATTTAAAATTTTTACTGCAGCTTTGATGCCTTCCCCCACCAGTAATACAGATCCTATTCACATAATTTGCCTTTATAATTTATTTCTAAGATACACGAAGACTCATAAAACTGACTAAATCACAGTGGGAATATGTGAATTACAGATTTTTGTCCTGCCCTCCCTTAATGGCTTGGTTTCCTTCACAGTTATTCTCTTTCGCCAGTAGATGGCACCTCTACCTGAAATGAAGAATCATCCAATTTTAAAGTTAAACTATTTGGGAACAAATTTTGTCTTCCTTTTGAGTGAATGGAATGCTCTCGTATGTACTGTTCACTGTGGTTTCATTAAGCTGCTTGTGTGGCCCAAACTCTAAACTCTTAGCGATCAGAAACCATCTCTTTTATTTCTTTGATATAAAAGTCTCTGGCACAGGGGTTAGATACATAGCAGATGCTCAATAAATAACAGTTCATTAATTGGTTCCTCAGTATTTTAGGAAGCAGAGTATAAACGGAGGTGAGATTATTAATTGCAGTGGTAACTGAGATATTTTTCTTCTTCAGCTTTGCTACTCAACTTGATTCTCCCTGTTGGGAGCAGTCAACCATATACCAAATATGACTGACACATAAATTGTTATAGAATTCACTTTTAAAAATGTTTACCATATTTCAGATAATTAATACAGGACTTAATGTGGTCTTGTGACCCTTTTGTAAAAGGAGCAGGACAAATGCATTTTGAACTATCTGCACTCCTTCATTCAGTTTCAGATGTTTCAGAATAATGGGTGGTTTCAGGTAAACTGATTTTGGGAATACTAGATTAGAGTCATATTTTATCTCTTCTTCCTGTTTTATTTCTTTCCCCCTTTTCCTCTCTCTGTTCTCCTTTTTTTCTCCATAATCCTTTTGCTTCCCTCCCTCCCTTCCTTCTTTCCTTCCTTCCTTCCTTCGATTATGTCTGTGCTCTCAATACATCTAAGGAAAAGTACCAAACAGCCTCAAAAGTGATTTTGGAATTGCCTTACATTTTCATCAGATTCTTTCTAATTTTCTTTATGGGAAAATAATTTCCTTTGCGGGAAATCATAGCCCTTAATGTGTGTCAGATATCATTACATCTAGTGAATTCCCTGATTAAAATGGAAATTCCCCCATTAGCTATTATATGCAAGTGTTGGTTTTTAAAACATTGATCTCAGATGGGTATTAAGAAGAATATGTTAGAGGTAAGGAGGAAGGGAGGGAGAGAAAGAAAGAGAAAATAAATATGCTTTCCCCCATCCCAATACAAACAATGAAAACAAAAGAAGCTACCAATACTAAAAATTCCCAGTTCTCATCAAAATAATTGGGAAATAACACTTAAGGATTAAGGATTTAAAATAGTCACTTTATAAACTATCTAAGCCACGTCTGTGCCCTTGTTAACTAATCTGCTAATCGGTTAAACACAACTTCTGTGTGGCACAGCATTCTATGTCTTCAAATGCCTCTGCATTCACCTCCCCAGCACCACTGAAAGCAGAGTTTAGGCCATGTAAGTAGGTGTCTCGAAAGGCAAGGTTTTGCTGAAAGTTCAATGTGTCTAGCCGAACTTATATGCAATATCCCCTTCCACACTCTGAGTCACAAAGCCCTAAATCACAGGTTCCTTCAAGCCAGTATGGACGCTACCCACCATCCCTGAACCAACTAAGCAGTCAGTGCTGGGGCACTCCGCTTTCTGTGTTCTTTCCTCTTCAGCCACTCTTAGGCCCCCAATTCCTCGTGTTTTTCCCCCTCCTCTTTTACCCAAAGGTTAGTTGCTTTCAGGGAATAACGTGAAACTGATTCAAAATAAGATACTGAATGAAGGATAACTTTGAATTACCCTTTCCAGAGGATTTTTCCCCCCCTTCACTTTAACAAGGATCAACATCTTAAGCTTAAATATAAATCCCTCTTTACTATTATCTAGGAATGACAAGTTATTTTCTAGGATCCCAGTGGGGTTTTCCCCCCAGTGCTTGTGGGGTCACATTAGGGATGAATTTCACTCATGTGGGCTACATGCAGCTTTCATCGTTCATAGCCCTATAGCCGTGACCAGGTTCTATGACTAACACATTGGGAGCACCAGCTAACCTGGAAGCCAGAGGCTTTGCAGAGGTATTTCCCTTGTCATCTTGGAAGACTACGCAGAGGGTTGCATGTTACAAAACTGCCTTCTGTCCAAAATGTTCATTTGAATACAAAGACTGCATCTGATAAATAACCTTACACACAACATGGATTTCTCTGGTGTCTGCCTTGGGAGCAATCTTTCTCTTTAATCATCATCATCATTACAACAATAACAGTGCTAACAGCTATAATTAATGCTGACTGTGTCAGTTCCAGGACAAAAATCTTCATGTGTGACATTTTCTCCCCGTGAGGGTAAAGCACTTATTTCCACTTATATAACCGCTCACTACTCCAAGAGCCTTGAGTCCTGGCACTGTCGTGGTTAGAACTGGGAAACAGGAATGACTTGAGGGCACATTTACAAAAAGTCTTAAATTGTGTCTGCAGTGGTGGCCAATTCTAAGAAGGGGTACCGGACAACAGCAGGTCAGTTTAGAATCAGGGGAGGGTAGCTCAGCCTAGCCTGGAAAGTTGGGCCCCAGCCATGAAGAAACCCAGAGACCCCCCCCAGGATGTCCAGTGGAGGAGAGAAAGGTGGGTGGGCCTAGGGCAGGCTGAGCAGGAATTTCCTTCCTGGGGTCTGGTGGCTTCCTGTTTGGCTAAGAAGGCAAGGCAGTTTCTTGCTGGTGGTCTCTTCTTTGTCCAGACCCCCAGCCACTACATGCCTCCAGAAGTGACCCTGGACCCTTGAGTTTACTGGGGAGACCTACTTTGGGGGAGGGCAAGGGCAGGGAGTAAGATATAAGCAGCAACAAAAAGCTTCACATCAGTTACGGTGTTTGTATTGTTCCAAGTGCTTTTGTAGCCATGATCTCATCTGACAATGATCCTGTGAAACAGGTTGAGAAAGTACTATTATCTCCATTTTAGACAATGGGAAGCTGAGACCTCAGGGTTTTTTGAGAAACCCTAGAAGGGGAGAGGGGAGTAGTTGAGGAGCCAAGAGTTACCACCAAAACTGTGCCACTGGGAAAAAATGGTGACTCTGGATACTTCAGAAAGCTGAGGTCGGGTTGAGCGATCTCTGGCCTGAAGGGCACATCGGGGGATATACTAATCCACAAGCCCCAGTGGCATGTACTCCAGCCAGACCTACCTGGGCCTAGTCCCTGCTCCTGGCTTCTCCTTTCCTCCATGCTGGTGGTCCTTGCTCATGGCATCTATTCTCCCCTATCTTCCTCCTTCCATCTTCTGATAGTCCCACCTTCCCAAAGGCAGGGCACAGAGGGGAGGGCAGAGGCGAGGCAGTGAGGGAGTCAGGAGCTGCAGTGTGGCTTTAACAGCTCGCCCTCCACAACCCAAGTCTCTCCACCAGTTTCAACCTCACCTTGAGGTAAGAACTAGAGCTGACATGGCTTACACGTGCAGTTTTAGGTCCTCTTTAGACATCTTCGATAAAGAAACCATTTAGGGTGAGAATAGCACCTAACACTGAACATTTCCTATTGGTTTTGAACCTAGGCGGTCTTGCCCAGAGTCGATGCTCTTAACCCCTCCACTCTTCCCTAAGAGAATTTCCACCTGGGCTTAGCTCTGAGGGTTAGAGTCTGGCTTCAGCAACAAGCCTTCAAAACTAGGCTGGACAGCAGCCAGAATGGAGGTGACACAAGAGGAGCAAAGACTGAGAGAAGAGCTCAGTAATGGAAGAGAACACACGAAAGCCAGAACCCGAGCGCCCAGTGGCCTCTGAATTGGGAATGCTGATGGAAATCTCTTGATAGTCGTCTCCTGGGGAAGCAGACTGGCCTGGAAATTTCCTCAGGAGTCTGATACGTATGTGGAAGAATATGAACACACCACAATGATCAAGAATGACAACAGAGTCGCACCCCAGAACAGCTCTGCAGTCAGTCAGGCTGTGACGCTGCATCAGCGAGGACCCACCAAATATGATATTAGGAACCCCTTAGCTGCATAGGTGGAATGAAACAGTGACACAGGCCCATAAACTTGCACCGGACAAGACAACATTTATGCCCCAGACTCACACCCATACCCATAGGCACAACTATTCTCTCCCTCCCGGGCCCTTACCTGTCATCGCAGTAGGTGAACTTCATGTCCATACTGTGGCGGCTCAGGAAGGTCTTGCTGTCCAGGGGGATGTCCATGTGGGATGGGTGCTGGATGGGCTCACACATAATGATGAGGCAGGAAAGCAGGGGCTCCTTGTAGCCGCAGAGACTACTGTGAGGGGGGCAGTTGTTGTAGACCTTCACCTGGCCAGTGCAGTGCAAGACCTGAAGAGCAGCCATGAAGGGTCAGATGTGGGGCCAAGAGCATGGGACGGGGGCACATCGGGGACTCCAACCCACGCCTGATGTTGACCTACCTTCCAGGTGGCTGACTTGAGGTTGACAGTGCGGCCTCTGTTGGTGACTGTGCACTTCATCCTCATGAAGAAGTCCCTTTCTGTGGACATGTCTTTGCTTTTCTTCCCAAAACCAGAGCCTGGATGGGGAAGAGCGGAGGGAACCAGAGAATTTAGTTTTTCATTTATATTCAGAAGAGGGGCCCAGTTGCAGTACTTTCTGGGCAAGATATTGTTTCTATTTCCCAAGTGTCTGCTGAGTAACATCTTGGCCTATGGACTAAAGCTTTCTCATCTCCAGCTTGTCACCCACCCCGCCTGGAGTATAAGCACCTGAGGAGTAGGACTGTTCTGCTCTTTTATTTCCACTGCACCTAGCACACGGTCAGAGCTCTTTTCAGAGCAGTGAGAGAATGAGTGACTATTAGCCACACTCTCAGCAAACCTCTGCTGGGGCAGGCCCAGGTTTCCTAGGAGGAATGTCCAAAGGACAGCAGCCTGAGTGAGACCACAATTATCCAAGGGGATAAACCATTCAGGTTAGACATGTCCCTCAGACATGACTGTCTTTTCTTCATTCCACAGGAAGTGGAATCCTCCTATGCACTATTTTCAACTAGCAATAGCTGCATTCAGGGTAATGTACTATCAGCCTTTTCCCTAAAGTGACATACGCATATGTCAAGCTCAAGAGAGACCTCTGGTCTGAACCTCCTGGGATTTGATGAGCAATTCCACTCCAAAGATTAACTCCACATGGATCATATCCTTTCTCAGCCAGAATTAAATAAATCACCAGGACAAACAATACAGCTTCCTTCCTTATAGTCTCCACATAGCCTGCCATTCAGAACTTTCTCCACTTTCTGTAAAGCAAAATGATGAATGCAGTAAGTGTCGTCTGAGTCCTCTTGTCCATGTCTAAATTCTACTTAATCCACCATCCCCATCCTGGGCCTCCCAGGGTACACGCCTGCCGCCTGCCTAGCATCACAGAACAATCCAGAGCCTTGTTTCAAATACTCACACCCCTCCCTCCAGGCACGGCCCCCAGACTCTGCACCTAAACCTCCAGATGGCTGTGATTTATTTGATTGACATGTTCCCAAAGATCTGTGTGACCAGTGAATTGTGTCACCTTTAAATTTATCTTAACCCTAGGAGAGCCCACTAAGTAATGGACCAAATGATGAACCTTTTTTATTATTTTAATTAAGAAAGAATATTCCTCCATCATGATCATAAAACCATGCCTCCCAGACTTAATTATGCTTCTTACAATTTTAATTTTCATAGTTGGGGTTTGCATATCATGAGATAGTCTTGTAATCTTGGGGCTTGGACCCACCACCTCTTGGACCAGCTCTGGTGTTGGGGATGAGTGTGGCTGTGGCTTGGGTTATTATTATCGTGGCCTCCTAACTTGCTAGCCTCTGGAATCTTGCCAGTCTGCCATTTGATTAATCTTTCTAAACACGGTTCCAATCAGATTACTCTACTCCTGCTCAAAAACCTTCAATCGCTCCCCTCTGTCTCAGGATAAAGTTCGAGGCCCTCCGCAGGGCCTTCAAAGTCTTCCACAATCTGCCTCCTGACTTTATCTCCCTCTGGGTGCTCACATTAACCCCTTGCTTCCAGATCATGAGTCCACTCAGGCCGGCACCTTCAATAAGGATTTGCCTGCTGATTCATTGAGTTTGATTCTAAGCCATCGATACATGGACCAAGAGACCTAAAGTTCTACTCAGATAAATAGTATCGTGCTGTGAATCACGGCACTCAAGAACTGGAAGGTGCTAGACTTTGCCTGGTTCATTACGATCAATTTGAAAAGAAAGACTCCAAGGAACAGAGCAATGAAGTGACTTGCTTCAGGTCACATGTTCAGACTGAAACTAAGGTCAGCGGTTGAGCTGAGAATGAGAACCCAAGGGCCAAAGGGTTCCTGGAGTAGAGAAGATATAAGAGACTTTGGTTTTCTCAGGCTTCAAGCACCTGCTTTAGAAAGGGATTCAGAAGGTCTGGTAGCCCCTTCCCCAGAGAACAGACAGGACTTTCTCAGCAGCACAGCTAAGATACTGACTAGCCCATGGAGTGCTCTCCAGACTGTGGACTTTGGGAGCTAGGTGACCCGAGGCCTTCGGGTGGGAGAAAAGAAAGGCTGCATGAGAAGTCACTGGTTGGGGTGGGGAGTTGGAGTAGTTTAAATCTGCATTTTGTAGGCCCAGACTGCAGGCTCAGTCTGTGTAACAAGGGTGGAAGTGGGCCAATGAAGTGCCTGCTTTTGCGGCATGTACAGTAACAGTATCCAAACCTTGCAGGCTTAGTACCGCTGTCTCTGTTATTCACGTTGGACAAGCATATACCCATGGCAGTGATGGGTGAAGGATGTTAAAGGGGTTGTTTAGACATGGGCATAATCTTCCCAGGGCAGTGATTGACTCTTAGGTTCAGAAAGGATTGTTCAAGTCACTGAGCCCCACTTCTGCCCAAAGCCTCAGTCCTCTTGATAATATCCCCATTCATCCCTTTGCTTGAATGTCCCCAGTTACATGAGGTAAAGCAGCAACTTCGATTGTCATTGCAAAGTGTTTTCTGCTTGTATGGGCCCTCCCAACCACCAGCATCTAATGGGTGCCCCCACAGGTATAATGCTCTAGACCAGCGGTTCTCAACCTGTGGGTTGCAACCCCTTTGGGGGTTGAACGACCCTTTCACAGGGGTCGCTGGGTACTTGTATGTGGGCGTATCTGCATGTGGGCCTGGAGATGGATAGAGGAGCGGTGTCTCAGTTCCTAAGACCATCGAAAATATGTGTTTTCCGATGGTCTTAGGCGACCCCTGTGAAAGGTTGAGAACCGCTGCACTAGACCTTTTAAATCTCTTCTCCATCAAAAACTACCTGTCCTATTATCTCCACCAGGGGACCAGATTTAGCTCTTGGCTCCCGGGGTAGCTAGTCTCCTGATATTCATGGCCTGTGTAGTTCCCTCCACACTGAATTAGGGTTGGCCTGGAACTTGCTTTAACCAACAGAATGGGGCAGTTTCTAGACTAAGCCTTGGGAAGGCCTGGCAGCTTCCACTTTTGCACTTTTGGAAGCTCAGCCCTGAGGTCCCATGTAAGAAGTCTGGCTACCTTGGAGATCCCAGGTGAAGAGGGAGAGGCTCTGAGACTCCATGGAGTGAGACGGAGGTCCAACTGTCCAGTATCCCAGCTGAGCCCCAGCTTCCAGCCACAAAGTCCCAGAGATGTGGGTAAGCATCTTGGTCATCCCACCTAGTTCAGTCCCCAGCTAATGGAAGCCCAGGTGACATGACATGGAGCAGAAGAGCCACCCACAGAATTGTGAGAGGTGATACAATGACTGCTTAAACCACTACATTCTGGGTGGTTACACAGCAGCAACAGACAGCTGCAACAGTTCCCATGAACACGTTGGTACAGGTGAGTTTACTGGTTTGGGTGGCATCATTTGGCAGAGGGGCTGAACTCTCAGGTGATGAAAGCTCCTGGAGACAGTGTCCTAACCCAATGGAGTGCCCTGACAGTGTGATATCAGGCGCCACCCAGGGTCAGGCGAGGTGTTTCTGAGTACTAGGTCCTTTCAGTGCCCTTGATCTCTGCTGGATTTGTTTATTTTTTTTGGATGTCAGTTTTTCCTAGATGATATTCATGGTCCATCTCGCCCACATTTGTATGCAAAGGGTGCCCTACCAGGAAGGGAGGAAACACAAGAATACGTTACCATTTTTGAGACTCAGGTTTTCACGGATTTCCTCGTGGTCACAGGGATGAGTAAAGTCAAAGATACTGTGTCCTGTTAGCTCCACCTGTTTCAAAAACAAGGTCAGGCTTCATTATTCCTAACACTGAAGGAGATGATTCCAAGAGGGAGCTGCGCCAGCTTTTAGATTTAGTGATGGGGAGGACACTGAATCAGTTCTTCTCATATTCTCAACCCAGTGTTAGGGCCACAGACATACGGATGTAACTGAGGGCTGCTGCTGGTGACAGAAACTGGATTCACCAGGGTGGGCCTATTAATCTAGTCAGCAGAGCTGTCCACCAGGATGGCCATCAGCAATGCCAAACTCAATGCCAGGGGGTTGGACGTGTGTTCCTGAGGCTTGTGGCCTGAGATCAGAGAGGGGGCAGGGCGGGTACGTGTGGGAAGAGGTCAGGAGGGACGTTACCAGAGTCTTCCACTAATTTCTACCCCCAAATGGAACATTTTCCCTTTTAGAAAGAGCCAGAGGAGGGTGTCACCTGTGTGAGTCCCATGAACTTGCTGATGTTTTCCGACAGAAAGATCATGTCGCCATCTTGAGTCACCACGGCAATGAAACCCTCCAAGGCTTTCAGGTACAGGTTGTCCATCTGCTGGTCAGCCTCAGCTTCAGACTCATTTTCAGAGCAAACTGGAAAGAGAGGGGGATTGGATGGCATGTATGAATGTGGTGTTAAAACAGATGTGATTGGCACAGACGATGTCTGCCGGGGATGCTGCAAAGACATCAAGTGAGCTTTTCCGGAAATGCACTCTGCCAACCATCGAAGTGTCTGCCACATTCCCAAGCGGTGGGCATGGGATGAGCACTCAGGATCAGCAATTGTGCCAGAGTCACAGAGGCTATTTCTGCAGAGAAACAGAGCAGACCCAGGCAGGGACAGGCCAGCCCAAGAGTTCGGCTGTCCAGACTAGTGTCCCAGATGCTTTCCCCCTGTTTTGCTAAAATGTTGGAACAAAAGGAGGGAAATTATTTCCTGTTCACACCCTGGTTCCGGTGGCTAGCCTATGGGAGGGGAGACCATCTGGGAATGTCCTTATACCACACGGACACCCACACTTGATCCCTGCTTAGGGTGACTGCCAACTAACAAGTCAGCTGAACTGATTATAACGGACTGAAGTCCAGGTGTGGGTGATGCTTCTGACAATGTTAGGGCTCTCACTTTACATCTACATTTAAACAGAGGCTTCAGGAGGGACAATGGTTGAAAACTCCGTGCTTTCAGCATGCACCAGAGTCACCTGCAGGGCTTGCAAAAACAAGGATTTCTGGGCCCAGGACTGCTGCATAATTTGTGGGGCTCAGTGCAAAGTAAAAATGTGGGACTTCTTGTTAAAAAATTAAACCAGGCCAAGGGCCCTTCAAAGTGTGGCGCCTTGCGGGCCTGTGCAAGTCACACACTCAGGAAGCTGGCCCTAGATGGGCCCATTCATGGGGTCCTAACTGGGGAGGGCTCAACTGGGGGCCTAGAATGTGCTTTTCCAACAAGTTCCTAGCATAGATGTCAATGCTACTGGCCTTAGAACCACAGATTGTGAAGAACCACTTTAACTCAAGGTCCTATACATGACATTAATGCTGGGAAAATCAGCCTATTTTGGCAGGTGGTGACCTAGTTGGGGGATGGGTGAGGAGAGGTTTTCAGCACCCATTTAAATCACACCAGATAGGTGACCCCCTTCTCCACACAGCAGAGGCCAGCCCTGGGATTCCTGGCCTATGAAAAAGATTTTTTCTCTTCAATTTCTTTTATCTCGGTGGCAACACTGACTTCAAAATCTGGAGTAATCCCAAGACAACCTTATTTGGGTTACCTAGGCCCAGAGGAAATAGTTCTGCTTAAAATTTCCTGTTTTTAACAGTTCCGACAGAGCTAAGCTGGTTCCCATCCGTGCCCAGTACACTTGCTTCCAGGAGGTGGCGAAATTGGCTACAGCAGCCGGCCAGCTGGCCTCTGGGAGGGAGGGAGAGGGGTGCTCGGGGGGCCACGAATGGAAACAGAACATCTTGGAACTAAAGTCACAATGGCTGGAGGATCAGGAAGCTAGCGGGCTGGTCCCCAAGGACCCCGGGACAGCCAGGCCTCTTTCCTCTGTGGAACTGTTTGCTCCTGCAGCACCTGCTTGTCCTCCTGGGGGCTTCCGAAGGAGTCTGGCCAGCTCACCGTCAGCTTGGAGGGGAGAAGTGAGCAGTGTGGGGTGGAGGCAGACCTTCACACAAGGGGCCAGGGGCTCCCGCACATCAACCCCCTGCTGAAGATTGCTAGGCCGTCCCCTGTTCTTGCCTGTCGACATCATGCCTTCTCTAACGTATCATTAATCTCTGGCTCAGTGTTAGGCACATGGAACACTCACTCATTAGCTACACAGTGATTACACTCCTATTGTGTCTGCCGCGTGCTGGGCACAAAGCAGCCATCAGGCATCTGTGAACATGTGCCACTTACTCTGTGCTCAGTCCTGTCCTAGGGAGAACCGGGGATGCCGAGAGGTGTGAGAGCAATCCTTCTACCAGGACTCTACTGGTGGTAAAGAGCAAGATAAGCTACTGTAAGGTTATACAACAAGGGAGAGAAATCCTTGGTGCCCAGCAAAGAGGAGCCCACAGTAGGGACACGATAAGCGGCCAGTGGGGGTCTTTAAATCCCCTTGAGTTCTCAGTCTCAGGCACTTGTCTCCCAGGACCCGTCAGGGCCTGACCTGAAAGCGGGGCAGGGGGGCAGGTCACCAAAATCAGAGGCGCTCTGTTGAGAACAAGGCCTGCTCAGCCCAGGGAGCACAACAAGATTCTTTAATGCTAAAAATAGCCCCTGTAAACAGGCTTTGATGACTCCCCACAGCCAGGATATGCTCTGGCTGAGGTTTCGGAGCACTTTTTCCGGAGCACTGCTCATTTCCTTCAGGCAGCACCACCCTGCGGGGCGGGGCCCACTGGGCAGTGGGAACTGGGCATCTGGGGTGAGCCGGCAGGGTGGCGGGGAGACACTTCTGACGGGGTCTCTGAGACCAGGCTGTCACAAGATGCTGCTGCGGGTCAGGATGCATTTTTATTCCACTAGGGTCCTTTCCCTCTTGGTTCCCTACTCTGAGAGGTTCCAGGGTTGCTTTGACCGATCTTAAAACCATTCTGCTGCGATCTTCCTGGTTCAGATGGGCCTGGCAGGCAGTCATAACTTAGTGATCGTTGCAGGGGCTTTCCATTTATGCTGATTCCTCCCCTCCACCTCTCCCAGGGCCATCGATACTCCCCCCGCACCGCCCCCATTCCTGGGTTTACTGATTGCCAGAGCAGTGCTACTCAAGCCGCGAATCAATTATGTTTGGATCACTTACTGAATCATTAGCCATACCTTTAAACTCCACCATTACCAGGTAGTAGGCCTGGGCTACCCTCACATCTTTGGCAGCAAGCCATTGTGGTTTTTTGTTTGTTTGTTTGTTTTTAATTTTAATTTTTGTTTCAGTGGTTTATGATTTTTTGTGAAATAAACATTTTTTAGTTTCAGCTGTACAACACAGTGCACTAGTTATACTTTTTACCCCTTGAGGTGACAACCCTCCTCCCCCAATCCACCGCCCCACTCCTCCCCCATGTCATACATATCTATTACAATTCCCTTGACTCCACTCCCACACTGTACCCTGCATCCCATGACTATATATATATGTATTTAATCTTATAGTTGACATACAATATTATACAACATGAGCTTCAGGTGTGCAGTGCAGTAATCAAGCCTCTACCCCATCCATGAAGTGGTCTCCCTAACAAGACATGTGACCACCTGACACCCTACAAAATACTTACAACTTTATTAATTGTATTCCCCAGAAAGCATTGTATTTTCCCTGATGTGGCAGGCATCCAAAAGGCCTCAAAAGTCTACCATTAGAGGACTGGCAGAGTGGCACGTTGGTTAAGAGCTGGCTTGGGACGCCAGAGGGCCCCGGTTCGGATCCCACATATGAGGGCCAGTGACGCTGCCCTCCACAGCTAAGATGCTGAACAACAGCTCAACCTAGAGCTGGGCTGCCTTGAGTCGCCGGCGACGGCGTAGGCTGCAGCCCCTGTGGCAGTGGGTTGCCATGGGCTACTGTGTGTAGCCAGCAGCCAGCGTGAGCAGCCGTCCAGCCGGCGACTGATCTGCCTCACCAAGGAAGAGTACAATGATGGTACCAACTTGGGCCAGTGAAGCAACGTCCTCCTCAACTAGACTGAAGAGCAAAACAACAGCAACTTGTCTGTTCCCCTTCCCCCAATTCCCCAATAAAATCTTTAAAAAAAAAAAAGTCTACCATTAGAGATTCATTCCTTTGTTCTTACTATCCTACCTCACCTTACTATCCTACCATAACTTACTATCCTACCTCACCTCTCTGTATTAACCTTCTTAAGCTGTAGCACAGGGGTAGGGTTAGCAAATACCTACTGATTGACCAGATCCTTCTTTGGTTTAAGCTAAAGGAATAATCTGAACAAGGTCAGTATCTCTGGAAGAGATTAAACTTTAGCTGTTCTTAGCCATTACATCCTAGCACGAATCAGTTAATCAGCTCCTCTCCGAACAGGACAGAAAAAGGCCTTGGTTTGGAGGGTGGGTGAGCCAAGGGATGGGGCAGTAAAAACAGTACTGGGTGAAAACTTAGGAAAGGCAGTCTGAAAGCGGCACAGAAGAAGGCACCAGAAACCATACCTGAGTCCAGTTTCCCCTTAGTTCCAACTTTTCCTGCCTGAAAAGGTCATGGGAAAATTTTTAAAATCATGTGTCCCACATTTTAATATCTTTCCCTTAGTAGTCTAGAGATCAGGAAATCATAATCTCTTATTAAGATAGATGTCTTCACTAAGCAAATGCCAATGAATCAATAATAAACCTGACATGTCTCTTTAGAAAACTTGTTTCATGTTAATGTCCAGCTCTTGTGTGAAATGAATTTGATTTCACCGCATGTGAGTGTGAGGAAGTAAAAAGAAAAATCTGTTTTACGGTGAAACGCCAATTTTCCGTATTTACTGCTGTTTATTTTAATGCCCTTCGAATGCAGAGGTGGCCCTCATTTGGTCTTGGTTTGTGGGGCTCATCTTGAAAGAGGATTTAAGACAATCAAGTGGCATTTCCACAGATGTTCCCGTCAGAGTGTTCTGTTCTCGGCCCAGCGTGGAAGCTAATATCATAAAGCTATTGTTTCAGTTTGCTTCCTGTGATACGAATCTCAATCCGCAGCCCAGACTCCTAGCCTGAATTTCTTAGCGTTGAGGTTTCCTCTCCAACATTCCCACACAGAACAGCCTACTGTGAAAATCAAAGGGAAATGTGTTACTAAGTAAAGAAGAAACTTCTCTAAAGCAAAACCTGGTCTTTTTTAGCCTTTTGAACTCTGAGGTATGCAACCAGCTATTTCCTATTATAAAGTGAGCCAACATCAGGGCTCACCTTTGTTAGAAATGTTTCAATACTGAGTCTGTTTGGACTTGGAAGAGCTCGCAGAAGATGGTGTACTTCTTAGATATGTTATTTATATGTACTTATTCTAAATCAATTTACTTGTTCATAATCATTTTGATCTCTAAGCTATAACACAGAGCTTATAACTAAGCTAGGCTTGGTATCGCGAGCGTAGAACGTGGCAGGCAAGAGGATGGGGGCCTTTAAATCCGCTATCTCAATCCTGAAACAGCGTCCCAGGGTAAGTGCTGTTATGCCCTTCCTGCAGATGAGGAAAGTCAAGCTCAACGACAGTAAAGAGATTTTCACAAGGTCGCAGAGAAAGAAGGCAGCCAGAGGTTCCAACACAGGGTCTATCTGCCCACAATTCTTGGACTCCTTTTCATTGAGTTGTATGTGTTGAAAAAGCAAAAGAAGATTAGAAAAGAGAAAGGTCTTGTCTCCCATACAATTCCTGAAGACACTTTTAATGATTGGTTGAGAGAAGGTGTGGTAGGAGCCTGGAAGAGAGAGTAGAGAAAGGGGATGCTGAACGTCATCTATCTCCTCCTCCCCCGGGCGCTGCTTGCGTTATGAGAACTGCTCCTCCAAGGACACCAGGACCAGATGGTCCAATGTAGACACTTTTTATCCTTTTCTGTCATTTATTTCCTTGGGACAGAGAGGACCAGAGCTGACATGCTGAGGGCTCTGGGTGGTCTGGGGCCGAATCCAGCCGGAGGGCAGGCAGTTTGTGTCCACAGTTTGCAATAGCTCAGTGGGAATGGGTGCTATCTCACTGTGGCCATTCTGGTCCTTTCTCCCTGGGCATGTCTGGCACACAGCAGGTTCACATCAGCCCACATGCAAGCAGATATGCCCTGAGATTCATGGTTTCCTGAAAGCCAACCTCTGATTCACTGAGAGGGAAGATTCGGCTTATGTGTGAGAGAGCATGGAAAACAGGCCATGCACCGAGAGAGGATAGAAACAACTCACTGACTGTGTGAGGACCCCCTCCCATCCCCACTGCTCAGGGCCACCCCCTAGGTGATCTCCATTTAACATTGGTTCCCCTGCCTTCCACCTCCTCTTCCCCACAGGCCCAGCCTTTGCCAGAATCCTCATGGGACCAGGTTTGCAGAATGCTCCTGTCCTCCTGTGTCTATCTTTCCCATGGACCAAGATTCAAACGAACTTGCTTCCTGATGTGCATTCACTGTGTGCTAAATATGAGACTTTGGGCAACCTTAACTTGTCTGTGCCTCACTTTTCATCATCTGTGAAATGTTCTGCAAGTCCAAGTTCAATCAGAGAGGTGGCCTAGGATTAATGTATTGCCTCTTTTGGGGCTATCTTTTGGTGGAGGAATGGGGATGGTGGAGGGAGGAAGCAATGATTAGCCAAAGGAATTAATGTTTAAGAGTTAAATTTCAAGTACCATAACAAGGAAGTAGAGGAGATTTTTTTTGGGTGCAGGGAAGGGGTCTTCATCTAGTCCCTCAATCTTCCACTGCCTACTTTGTGTGTATATAAAGGTGATTCCAACACAACCAGGCACTGCCCTCACCTATGCAGGAAGATGAGCCTCTTTAAAAGAAAGGTACACATGTGCCCTGCGATGCCATCTCCAGGCTTTTCTGACACTTCAGCCCATTGTTCCCTTTTTCTGTAGCATGTAGGATGACGACTCTGCCACTGCTTTGCATTGTTTCTTTGAAAGTATTTATAGAGCATGTCTTTGCCCTTGGTTCTCCCCCTCCTGTCTGCTCTTTTCCAAGATTCTTTAGACTTGCAGTACAGGGTTAGCCCTCCAACCCTTGGACCCACTGAGCTGTCATTCTATTTTCTGAAAGTCTTTCCCCCATATCCTTCCTGTGCTCCATGGCCCAGAATAGCTCATGCCGGTCTGGCCTCCCAGCCTCACATTGGATTCCCTCTGCTCAGGGTTTCTTTCCCAGAATAGCCACTTCATAACAGGATGGCAGAATCCACCCGGCTCCAAGGCACTGGGTTCACTCAGGAAAACTAAAAACTGACCGCAAAAGAACCTTCCCCTGCCTGCCCGCCTCCCTCACACTCACTATCGTGGATGGTGCCCACCTGTAGCAGTTCCAACCAGTGGGGAGGGACACTACCCACTGCCCAACTGCCTTACAAAACTGACAGATTGAACGGGACTGTCACATAGGATCCAAAACTGGAAAACTCAGGCCACCTCTTTCTGGTCAAGGATAACAGGAAATGGTTTTTTGAAGAATGTAAACTCTGAGAAAAAAAACACCAAAAAAAAAAAAAACTTTTGTGAACTTGAGACTTGCAGAGATACCAGGGAGGGTGAGAATGAGGTTGTGGTCCGTCAAAGACTCACCAGTGTGAATAAGTGTGGTATATCAGGTGCTCACAAATATCGTCTCGGTTAATTTTCACAGACACCCTGTATGATAAGTATTTTTAACCCCTTTTTATAGATGAGGCAACCAAGAGCAGAGGCACCAAATAATCTGCCTGGCATACTGGCTAGTAAGAGGGAAAAGATCAGATGGGCACACCTCTGCCCTTTTGGAGAAGGTAGCTGGAAGATAAGCACCAAAACACCTCTTAAGGATTCAGTCTAGTGTGGAGTGTGGGTCTTACAGCCAGATGGCAAGGCTACTGGGAGGCCAGCAAAAGCTGCTCTTGTTCTCCTAGCCGTCTCTCCTCCTCAGCTTCTAGGTGCCCAGGTGCTTCCTAGGTCCTGTCCTTGCCCTTCATCCCATGGCTATACTCACTGTAAAGGTCATTGCTGGAAAGGAGATGTGTAACACGAAGGAATAAAGCACCAAGGAGAGTGTTTCTGTGGGTGGAAGTTTTGCAGAATAGGAATTGCTGAGTGGGGAGACCTCTCCCCGAGGCCTTCTAACTCTTGCATAGCAGACCCTCCTGTGTGTAGGGACACAGTGGTAAGGCTGCTAGCAGTGCCAGCCTGGGGGAGTCTACCAGCCTCACCTGAGGACAGGAGCTTGTGTGTTCGCAGGAAGCTGATAGCCAGCCGCATGATGGAGGCTTTGTCCAGGTGTGAGCTCACGCTGTGAGGCAGGGGCAGCTCGTGGGCCAGCTCATAAAAGACCTCCGTCTCCTTGCTTCGCCGGCACCGTGCTGCATCCCGGGACTTCTCCTTCCTTCTCTCTGAGCTACTCCTAAATTAAGAGAGAAGATTTGAGGATTTTAGTCACTGTCGTCCTATCATATCCTTGATCGAGACATTTCCAGGGTCCCTCAACCCATGGTGCAGCCAAACTGTCCCACTGAACCTCTCCAAGCTCACACCAGTCATCTGAGCCACACACAGCCTGCTGTATATTGTCAGTTGTGTGTTTGTGTCTTCTTTGCCACCTTCCTCCTCCTGTATGCCCACGGCATCTAGGACAGGGCTTCACATGATTTAAGCAGACTTGACAATTAAATTCATCCACTGGCAATGCCTTGGACCTGGTCCTGGGTTATCTGGGGACTGAGGTGAATGTGCAGTGATGGGGAGGGAAGTGTGAAGAACTATGGCCAGTGACTCAGGTGGCTGTCAAAGGCTCTGGAAAACAAGATGAAAACTGTTTCAAGTCCTCTTTCTAGATAAAATGCCCTTAGAAAAAATTAAGTCCAATACTGAACCCTAGATCCCATTTCGTATCAGAGTGATTTCCATGGTAAAAATCGAAGATGCCAGCAGAGTCCAAGAAGAACCATCAGCCAGACATCCGTCAGGCTGGTGACCCCAAGCGCACACCTAGCAAGAGTTATAAAGGAGTGAGCATACACACGTCTTCTTTCTAATCCTGCCAGCCTAGTTTACCAGCCTGTCTCATGCGCATTTTCCTCTGCTTTACAGGACAGAGGGAGGACGGCACACACCAAAACCTGCCTCTTTCAGGAAGTCCTCACAAAATCCTAGATCTTCTTATAATGCCCATGTTCCGTTCTAACAAGTTTAAAAGCCAGACTCTCTCTACTGAAATTCTTACTTCCCTGCTTGCCAGCTCTGAACATTCAAATTAAACTGCGTAGCCTTAGTTTTCTCATCTGTAAAACGGTAATAATGGTACTTATACCCCAAAGAGTTATTGCAAGGATCGACTGTGATAAGCTTTGTACAATTTTTGGCACCAGGCCTATCGCAACTGGAAGCAATGTTAGCTAATATTAACAAACAAATCTGTCCAGGAAAAGATGACCATGAGAGTAAAAATATTACAAAATCGTATAACCTGATTTTCATAGAAATGTATTATATAAAATAGTTCTCATATATATCAGAAAAAGCCTAGAAATATAATAAAATAATAACTATTATTCTTATAGCTATCACATATATAGCGCTTACTGTCTTCCAGGTACTGTTTTAAGCACTAGTACTTTAGTTTCTTTAATTCTTACACTACCCTTGGAAGTAGTTGTTATTATTCCTGATTTATAGATGAGGAAATAGGCTCCTAGAGGCTAATTTACCTGCAGCCTCTCGGCAGGTAAATGGGGAAGTGGGGCTTTGCACAGGCAGGTGGGCCAGAGAATCCAGGCTCTGAGTCATGGTCGACTTTTTTCTTTCTCTACACAAAAATGTTACCAGTTTCAGGGTGGTGAGGTAATGGGGGAGTTTTTTCCTTCACGCTTATCTGTATTTTCTTATGCTCCTATAAATAACCTGTATTGTATGGTTAGTAAATGAGTTTGGTGTTTTTTGTTTGTTTGTTTGTTTAAGTGTCCAATACCGTTCACGGCTCTCAAGGCCTCAGTTCCAGCTCCCTCTGTCCTCCCTCTGAGATTTCCAAACCAGGGGCTACTGCTCCTTTTGTTTGACTTTGTAGCCTGTTATCTAGACAGATAATCAGTATTTGGGAGTTCATGGAATGCTGACATGCCTTTCAAACCCTTCAAGTTTGGGGGCAGAGGCACGGTTTTGGCTTTACGACATGTTTCCTTTTAAAAAAATAAAACATCCAACAACCTGGGTGGATTAAGCACCATGTACTCAGACTGCGGAAAGAATGTCCAATAGCCATTGATGGATAAGAAGAACCTTCAGAAAAATTGTGCAAGGGGTGACATTGTTTTTCTTACCCCATCTTTTTTCTGTTTTCTTTACCTAATCCCTGTGCCCTCTTCTCCCCGATTTCCAATTCCCAGAACTCTCTCCGTGCACCCCACCCATCCCCACCCTCTCAGACCTACCCTCAGGATCATGACGATTTTGCACCAGACCATTACTGACACTTTGTATGTTAGTCCCTCCCATTTGCACTTTAATCCTGACCTCTGACTGTGGAGCAAAAGCAGTTGTTCAAGGTTTATAGGCATCCTGGCACAGGAAAGGCAGGTGGGAAAGCGACAGGACACCAAAACTTTACCCATCACTCCTGTGTGTCCTGAGAGTCAGGTAAAGGAGAGCCAGTGTCTTTAAGATGTTGGATTCCATCCTGCAGCATCAATTCTTGCACTCCCTGACAAAAGCATCATCAACACATGATCAATCTTCAGGGCATTTAGAGAAGCCATGCTGGGGCAGAAAAGATCCCCAGCACAGGCTATGATATTGAGGCCAATGTCTACGGGCCCGAGTGTGTCCCTTCGCCATTGTCCCTTTTTTAGAGTGGAAGAGCAGACAAGACAGAGAGAACCAGGAGGGGAAAAGGCAGCCTGGAGTCAGTGCTCTGTCTGGCAATGGCATTTGACATTTGACATTTGGGTCCTACTATGTTCCCTGAACAATGCAAATGTTTACTGACACCTACTTTTGTGCCTGGCATTGCACCAAGAACCTTACATATTATTACCTCATTATAATCCTCCTAACAACACGTTATGGTAGGTATTATGAGCACAGTTTACACATGCAGAACCTGAGGCTCAGACATAATACGTAACTTGCCCCAAATCACAAAGTGAATGTCTGCATAAGCCCTTGGATATTGTATAGTCAGTGAGCAGACACTTAGAAGCCCTGAGACACATGGATGTTCCTGGTTTAATTCCATCCTCACAAACTACATGTGAGGTGTGCAAGACAGACATTGCTGCTGTCCCCATTTCATAGATCTGGAAACTGAGGTCCAACCCAGTTACGTGACTCACCAAGGTCAATCTAGCTAATTAGCAGTAGAGCTAGGGCTAGAACCCATCTCTTCCTAGGTCAATATACTTTCCACTGCTTAATGGTAGGAGACAGTGACATTAGCAAGAAATAAAGAAACAGCAACATCTTAACATTTAGTAAAAGACTGAGAATCTCACGCAGTCTCTTGGTTTTAAAGTCATGAGCCCATTTTATCTACCCTGTTTTCACAGTTGCACTCTGGGGACTAACACAACTTGAATTAGATTATCTAGTTAAACTTGACACAGCCCAGAGATATCTGTCTAATGTTGACTCTTGGAAGAACAAAAATGTGTAACGCTGCCATGATTTAATTAGCAACACTGAAGAACAAGTATAATTAACGCTAAGTTTGAAGGTAAGACCTCCCCAAGCCCAAACGATGCATATACAGTCTACTTCCTTACACAATTTATCACAGGTTAGGTTTCTTAACAGAACAGGGGTCTAGAAGTTAGGGGAACTGATGTTTTGATATACTGGCCACAGGACTATCTAGATATCTGAGTTTTGACAAGAAAATACATTCTTTGAACCCTGATAGCCTCACCTGTAAAATGAGAGAGATCTCATGTCTTAGTTGTCAGGATCAAACGAGATGAGTGTAGAAGGGTTGGAAGTATAGGCATACCTCGCTTTATTGCACTCCACAGATGTTGCAGTTTTTTACAAAATGAAGACAAGGACTTCTACCAGCAAAAAGACTGCAACTCACTTTATTGCAGTATTTGTTACTGTTTATTTCTTGCGTAAGCCATTATCTCCTACCATTGGGGTGGTATGGAACCAAACCTACAATATCTCTTGAGGTATGCCTGTGCTAGAAAGCGCTCCACAAATGAAAACTATCAAGACAGATAATAACGATCTCATTATCTGGCTAATCGGAGAATTAGTCACATTCAGACTTGGGTCATAACAGCTGGTTTTTCATCGTCGAATCAATGCTGTCTTGAGGCTGGAGATGCATTTGCTGTCAGTCCTTTGTGTCATGTTGCTGACCCTCCTTAGGTCAAAGAGGCTTCATTTCCTAAAATACTTGTACTCTATTTTCTCTCCCTAGATGGGTTACAGAATTAACTGCAATAGACCAGGTTTTCTTTCTTTTTTTTAAATGACAATTCTGGACATGGCATATTAGAATTCTCCAGTTTCTTGTAAAAAAAAAAATTTATCCTAAGTTTTTCAAATCATCAGAAAAGACTCCAAAATTTATCGCTTCCTCCAAATTGCTCTTTCTACAAAGTTCCTGCTCCTGTCTTTCTTGGTGGCCCTCCTGTGACCACAGGGTGGTCCTACACAATATTTCGTATATGGAACACACAACATAAACCAGGCCCTGGGTACCTGCATCCTTGTGCAGACCCAGAGGTGTTTATTGAGCTCTATGTTGGCCCTTGTGGAACTGCGGAGTAGATAAGGCCTTGTTCTCAAGGAGAATGCAGTCTAGTGAGGAAGCCAATGACTTGAAGCTTTTCTATCAACGACAGAAATAAGCACAGGCAATCAACACTACAGGTGGTGAAGATGAGAAGCCGGTGTGAGCAACAAAGGTCAGGGAAGGCTACTCAGGCAGGCAGGAATTCAGCTGATCCTAGAAGGACAAATGACAAATATGGTGTTTGAGGGCATTTTTTCCCCCACACGTGTTATCTCATGTAAGTCGCACAATAACACTGAGAGGTAGGAACGATCATCCCCATTTAATAGATGAAGAAGTGGAGATTTAGAGAGATTAAGTCATTTACTAAAAGACACTGTCTCAAACCTAGTTCTCCTGGGTCCAAGATCAAAGGTTTGTCCACTGGTAGCAAGGAAACCATCACTGTATACCTTCAATGGGTACAGGGCTGTGTTACACTGTCCCACAAATCGGATGTTCATATACAGGACAGAAGGAAGAGGAGGGTTATGATTTGGAAAAGAGACAGTGACATACAGATTTCGTGGTGGGTGGGAGAAGATTCTGTCCTGACGGGAGCACCCACCCACCTTGGGAATAAACCTGGAGCCTTAGGAATAGGATTGGGAATCAATATCTGAGTTCAAGTGGGGTGTGAGTAGGAAAAAGAGGAATCAGTGCTGTGGGCCTTAACAGGAGGCTGCCTCCATTACTGCAGGGCTGGAGGGTGGTGAGGTGTTATCAGGAGTGACTCCATGGTGTTCCACATCAGCTGCGGGTCCAACCTGCATGTATGCATCCCACCATGCTGCTGGTGGAGAGCAAGCAGTTTCTGTCTTTTTGTGTTCTGTTGACATCTTAGGATACACCCATTTATACCTAGTCTCCCCAAGTTGGAACCTCAACGTCTGAACCACTGGATACCAATGAAGGGAAAGCAACCACTTGAAGGGACAGGCAGCCAGTCAAAAGGCAAAACAAAGCTGACTGTCCTAAAGCTCCAGCAGGGTATATGTTACAACTCCACCTGTTAAAACCTCTTGCTCCAGAGCTTCATTGTCTTATAAATGTCTCAATTTTGGGGTCATTGCTCCAAGCCTGGCTTAGGGATCCCTACTGAAGTCAGTCATTAAATCATTATCAGCTCTTGGTCAGGATGACCCTGGTTTCTGACTTCCAGGTGAACACAGCCTGTTGTGGGGCCTCCAAGATGTCACCAGCTGCACCAGTGGGGTTGGCGGCTTAATTAGCTGTAGTCTCCTGACCTTTAGTGGTACGCCGAATGCCTATGAATCATCAGGGTACCAAAACAATATGCCTGTCACCTGTAAGGTTAGCTGGCTTAGAAGCAGAATGGATTTTAGGAGGTCAAGTAGAGAGGCTGAAGCTAATTGAGCCACTTTAGATCAGTCTTTTGTTTGGTGGTAAAATTCTAAGTGGGTGCCAGTTTGCAGGAGCTGTGAATGGAGGAAGTAAAGGTCAAAGGCGATAGGGAGGGGCTCTCAGGACCCTTCACAGTGAGAGGAGCAGCTGCTGCACAAGGGCTGCCTGAGGGAGGAACGCACCAGCTGTAGGTCCCAGAGATCAGACCAGGACAAGTGGCAGGCCCGCACACCTAGAGGGTGGTCGCTTAGTGGATTAAATTAGAGCAGAACCAAAGCGGGTGCTTCTCAATCTTCGGGGCTCACTGGAATCCTCTGAGGATCCTTAAACACTGAAGCCTGGGTCCTTTGTGGCATCAC